GCTTGAATAATTTTAAAGAATAATGTGCAAATATTGTACAATCCAAGTGTGCAAAGCTCTTAGAGACTTACCCAGAAAGACTCACAGCTGTATTCGCTGCTAAAGGTGATTCTAAAATACACAAAGTATACAAAACATTAAGAATACCTGCTCTTTCCATGACATAGACTGACCAGGTGAATCCAGGTAAAAGCTATGATCCCTTATTGATGTCACTTGTTAAATCCACTTCAATCACTGTAGATGAAGGGGAGGAGACAGGTTAAAGAAGGATTTTTAAGCCTTGAGACAATTGAGACATGGTTTGTGTATGTGTGCCATTCAGCGGGTGAATGGCCAAGACACAAAATGTAAGTGGCTTTGAATGGGGTATGGTAGTAGGTGCCAGGCTCACTGGTTTGTGTCAAGAACTGTAACGCTGCTGGGTTTTCCATGCTCAACAGTTTCCTGTGTGTATCAAGAACGGTCCACCACCCAAAGGACATCCAGCCAACTGACACAACTCTAAATGTGCAAACATGGGCCTCCTGAGTGGCGCAGTGGTCTAAGGCACTGCATCGCAGTGCTAGCTGTGCCACTAGAGATCCTGGTTCGATTCCAGGCTCTGTTGCAGCCGGCCGCGACCGGGAGACCCATGGGGTGGCGTACAATTGGCCCAGGGTAGGGGAGGGTTTGGCCGGCAGGGATGTTCTTGTCCCGTCGCGCACTAGTGACTCCTGTGGCAGACCGGGCGCAGTGCACACTGACTCAGTCGCCAGGTGTACGGTGTTTCCTCTGGCACATTGGTGCAGCTGGCTTCTGGGTTACGCGGGCACTGTGTCAAGAAGCAGTGCGGCTAGGTTGGGTTGTGTTTCGGAGGACGCACAACTCTCGACCTTCGCCTCTCCGTACGGGAGTTGCAGCGATGTGACAAGACTGTAACTACCAATTGGATACTACAAAAAAGGGGGTAAATAATAAAAATGTGCAAACATTTCTAAAAATGTGTTTTCACTTTGTCATTATGGGGTATTGTGTGTAGATGGGTGAGATTATTATTATTTTTAATCCATTTTTAATTCAGGCTGTAACACAACAAAATGTGGAATAAGTCAAGGGGTATGAATACCTACTGAAGGCACTGTATCAATAACTTATTTTTTATTCTAAACCAATGAGATGTTTTGTTATTATTCGTCATCTCCAGCACCACACTAACATCAACATGTGAAAATGTCAAGTTTCTATGTTTTGTAGTAAAAAAGATTGAGGAAGATAAGTGTTTCCAATTACATCATTGGTGTGCATCATGTGATTTTAACCAATTATGAGTAGGCATTGCCTACTAATTGCTTAGTAATTGCCTACTAATTGGTTGATGATGTAATTGGAAACACTTAACTTCCTCAATCTTTTTTGCTACAAAACATAGAGACGCGCCATTTTCACATTTGTTGATGTTGGGGTTGGTGCTGTAAATGATGAATATGAAGATGTAAAATTGTGCAATTTCCCTTTAAGTTATTTACAATTATGTGTAAATTCCCACTAGGGCCCAGTTTCAAAGCTGCAAAAAAAACTTTGATGGTGTTGAGGCTACCCTCAGATAAATACATTTTTCAGATATTTTTCGTACCTTCTCAGATAAGTGATCATAATTTATCTAAAATTAAGAGATGAATGTGCTGATGATATATGCACAATAGCATATTTCATGAGAATTCATTACCCTTTCTTGCCAATTGAAAATATGGGGTTTTCATGCTAGCAGTCGTGCCTGCATGTCACAGTCTCACAGTAGCAATATAACTCGGTGAACTACAACAAGATAATAGATTTCAGGCATTCACAGCTTACATTTTTAAATGCATTTTGTCTTATTTTACTGTTAAATGAACCTTGCATTGTTATACATAGATGCGATTTTTGTGTAAATTTTACATTTATCTCAGGTGGGCTTAACGCACAAAAAACACTTTCTCTATACAGAATGTATGATCAATACTAACTTTGAATAATATTGTAGTCTATAGTGTCTATTTATACCCCAAACCTTTGGTTTCCAAATATTTTATGGGTAGACTTTGCTATTCAGTATTTTTCACCATAAATCACTGCTGTTTATTATCTATGCATAGTCACTTTACCCCTACCTACATGTACAAATCACCTCGACTAACTTGTACCCCCGCACATTGACTCGGTACCGGTACCCCCATGCATATAGCCTCATTATTGTTATTTTATTTTTTTACTTTAGTTTATTTAGTAAATCATTTCTTAACTCTATTTTCTTAAAACTGCATTGTTGGTTAAGGGCTTGTAAGTAAGCATTTCACGGTAAGGTCTACACCTGTTGGATTCGGCGCATGTGACAAATACAATTTGATTTGATTTGTTCCTATTAAACCCGGTTTACATAGAAACACATGGGGATAGTGTGTTGATAACCCTAATATTCAATGAACATGAGCATAAATGTTTTGTTGTTCAGATTGAAGTTGATTAAAACACACAAAAACTACAGCTAGGCATATTATGCATCTAGCCATGGTGCCTTTACCAAGATTAGAAGAAAATTAGGAACAATTAGAAACCTCTGTACTCTCTCCAAGACGTTTGGAGTGGACAGGTAGTCGTTGATGCAGAGAGAGAAGAATACTGTAAGATCAGGGTTGAGGGATATCTGGGATAGAAAACCTACAAGTGGTGGATAAAAATGCAAATAAACAAGGGACAAGAAGATGACTATTGGGCGACTACTCATGCACTTTTGTGTGGGGGCATTGTGATATTGTTGTCTTTCATTCATCCAGGTGATTCAGTTCTTTGGTCCACCACCTGTACTTTTTTAATATACAGTAGAGAGGGAGATTTGAATCTGTCTTCAGATAGTTGAACTAATTAACAAGAATAGCAGTACAGCAAATGTGAATCAGCTTTCAGATAATTTATTCGAAGTTGTGTGTGTTATGGACTTTGTTGCATGGCTTCTAATCCAGAGGGCCAGTGTGGGTACAGGTTTGTGTTCTAACCAAGCAATAACACACCTGATTCAACTAATCATGTCTTGATTGAAGTCTATGATTAGTTGATTAGTTGAATCAGGTGTGTACTGGTCGGCAAGAACAAAAGCCTAAGTCCACATTGATCTCTGTGGATACGATTGGACCACACCGCTGTTATGAGTGCTACTGTCATTATGAATAGTAACGATCAGTTTATTTGAATAACTTTAGGGGAGATTAATATAATCACATTTTACATAAGAAATGTCCGTTTGTAAGTTTTCAACATTTGGAAATGAATTAAAATTGATTGTTAAAAAATTAGGGCAGTATCTGTTAGAAGATTTTGGTGGGCTTAATAGGTACACTTACCCTACTCTGAACAACAAAGCATTTGAGCGGACTGTGGGAACATACACAGAAACACAAACAAGTTGAGCCAATCACTTTATTTGATCTGCCTTTATCAAAGACAATGCTCAGAAACTTAAAATATGAACATTTCTTCATGGTGGACAATAACTTCATAATCATCATCTTCATCAATTTTATCATTATCATTCGTAAATAATCGTTGTTTGTAATTGTTTAAAATGTAGTTGTCACTTTTCATTTTTCATTTTCCTTTCAAATTCAATAACATTAAAATAACATTTTAAAAAGGACATTAACGACAGAAAATAAGTAAGACACAGTTAAGTGAGTCTGGACTGGAGTGTACAGTATTCTGTTTGTACAGTATTCTGCATGTAGCATTCTGCATATACAGTATTCTGCATATATAGTATTCTGCATCTACAGTATTCTGCATGTAGTATTCTGCATATACAGTATTCTGCATATACAGTTCTCTATTATGCATGTAGCATTCTGTATATACAGTATTCTGAATGTGGTATTCTGCATATACAGTTTTCTGCATGTAGTATTCTGCATATGCAGTATCCTGAATGCAGTATTCTGCATATACAGTTCTCTATTATGCATGTAGCATTCTGTATATACAGTATTCTGAATGTGGTATTCTGCACATACAGTATTCTGCATATAGAGTTCTCTATTATGTACAGTATGTAGTATTCTACACGTGCAGTATCTGCATGGCAAGGCCTGGGTCCTTATGGCTCTGACGTCACTAACAAAAACAGAGACACTTGGAGAGAAGAAGTATAGAAGCCATTTTCCTTAGTAGGCACCATATTTGGACTCACACACACCACACACACAGGCTCGAAAGCTCACACACACGCACACTCTCACACACACCAACGACAACAACTAAAAACATTAAAATCACTTATCCAAAAGCACAATATGGCGGTGAAAAATTAATAGCAGGTGGGCCAGAAAAAATGCATGAGTTGGCGTCAGTTGAAATGGAGTGAGTGAAGAAAAGGAGTGAAAGGAGGAGAGGAAGCAGAGGCAGGAAGGAAAGAAGGAAGAAAACAATTGGTTACAACCAATGTCCACAAGAAGAGAAGAGAACAGCACAGGAGGAGAGGAGAAAGTCAAGAGTTTATTTGTTGGCTCTTATAGTTCACAATTAGTTATCTTTGTAGTTCTTTTTTTTCAGTCATCATTCTGAGGTTTCTCAGTTATTTCAACTATTATTTAAATAAAGAGCTCTGATTGGGCGATCCCTTCATCATTCCACTGGAGTGCTATCCTTTGTTTATTCCTTATTTTTGTTTTTTCTTTCGTTCCTTTGCTCACTGTAGTCTTTTATTTACCACCCTGACGGAGGGAGTCACTGGAGGGTCCTAGTCCCAGAGGGTCAGGTTGGTGAGGAGTACGTCAGATACCCTGTAGATACTCCAGGTCGCATTCACACATGCATGTCGCATTCACAAACGTGCACACACACGCACTCATACTCACACACACTTCCACCGACCAAGACCCACACTCATTCAAAGTGCTTTCCCCTTCATCCCGTCTCGGGCTGAGGGTCCTAGTTTTCTCTCATATGTTAGCAGTGTCTGTCTGTGCAGCAGTATGTATCTCAGTCAATCTCTACTGATTCAGCATCTTATCTGCCTCGGGGTATGTAGGATACTTTATGGTCTCGATCTTCTCCTTCACCTTGTAGGATGGGTAGAGGCCGGTGCGGCCCGTCTTGCGGTTGATGCCCTTGGAGTTGCCGTCCCAGTGGTTCCCCGCCACCCCGATCAGGTCGCCGGGCTCTAAGGGGATGTCGTCGGAGCTCCGGGGCTGATGGGCGTACACAGCTAGCTGGTTGTGGGCGTTCTGGCCCCCGAAGTAGTAGATGTCATCCAGGGAGTGGAAGTGGGATGAGGCGTCAGGGTGGAGGGTCTGCATGATCTCATAGGCCACACGACACACCTGGAGCAGGAACACAACACAACACACAGGACTGCATGAGAAATGAAACACAGAGGCTAATATATATATATATATATATATATATATATATATATATATATATATATATATATATATACACACACACACTGAGTGTACAAAACATTAGGACCACCTGCTCTTTCCATGACATAGACTGACCAGGTGAATCCAGGCGAAAGCTATGATCCCTTATTGAGGTCACCTGTTAAATCCACTTCAAATCAGTGTAGATGAAGGGGAGGAGACAGGTTAAAGAAGATTTCTTAAGCCTTGAGACATGAAATGTGTACAGTTGTGGTCAAAAGTTTTGAGAATGACACAAGTATTGGTCTTCACAAAGTTTGCTGCTTCAGTGTTTTTAGATATTTTTGTCAGATGTTACTATGGTATACTGAAGTATAATTACAAGCATTCTATAAGTGTCAAACGCTTTTATTGACAATTACATTCAGTTTATGCAAAGAGTCAATATTTGCAGTGTTGACCCTTCTTTTTCAAGACCTCTGCAATCCGCCCTGGCATGCTGTCAATTAACTTCTGGGCCACATACTGACTGATGGCACCCCATTCTTGCATAATCAATGCTTGGAGTTTGTCAGAATTAGTTTTTTTTTTGTTTGTCCACCCGGCTCTTGAGGATTGACCACAAATTCTCAATGGGATTAAGGTCTGGGGAGTTTCCTGGCCATGGACCCAAAATTCCGATGTTTTGTTCCCCGAGCCACTTATTATCACTTTTGCCTTATGGCAAGGTGCTCCATCATGCTGGAAAAGGCATTGTTCGTCACCAAACTGTTCTTGGATGGTTGGGAGAAGTTGCTCTCGGAGGATGTGTTGGTACCATTCTTTATTCATGGCTGTGTTCTTAGGCAAAATTGTGAGTGAGCCCACTCCCTTCGCTGAGAAGCAACCCCACACATGAATGGTCTCAGGATGCTTTACTGTTGGCATGACACAGGACTGATGGTAGCGCTCACGTTGTCTTCTCCGGACAAGCTTTTTTCCGGATGCCCCAAACAATCGGAAAGGGGATTCATCAGAGAAAATGACTTTACCCCAGTCCTCAGCAGTCCAATCCCTGTATCTTGTGCAGAATATCAGTCTGTCCCTGATGTTTTTCCTGGAGAGAAGTGGCTTCCTCGCTGCCCTTCTTGACACCAGGCCATCCTCCAAAAGTATTTGCCTCACTGTGCGTGCAGATGCACTCACACCTGCCTGCTGCCATTCCTGAGCAAGCTCTGCACTGGTGGTGCCCCGATCCCGCAGCTGAATCAACTTTAGGAGACGGTCCTGGCGCTTGCTGGACTTTCTTGGGCGCCCTGAAGCCTTCTTCACAACAATTTAACCTCTCTCCTTGAAGTTCTTGATGATCCGATAAATGGTTGATTTAGGTGCAATCTTACTAGCAGCAGTATCCTTGCCTGTGAAGCCGTTTTTGTACAAAGCAAGGATGACGGCACGTGTTTCTTAGCAGGTAACCATGGTTAACAGAGGAAGAACAATGATTTCAAGCACCACCCTCCTTTTAAAGCTTCCAGTCTGTTATTCTAACTCAATCAGCATGACAGAGTGATCTCCAGCCTTGTCCTCGTCAACACTCTCACCTGTGTTAATGAGAGAATCACTGACATGATGGCAGCTGGTCCTTTTGTGTCAGGGCTGAAATGCAGTGGAAATGTTTTTTTGGGGGATTAAGTTCATTTTCATGGCAAAGAGGGACTTTGCAATTAATTGCAATTCATCTGATCACTCTTCATAACATTCTGGAGTATATGCAAATTGCCATCATAAAATTTGAGGCAGCAGACTTTGTGAAAAGTAATATTGGTGTCATTCTCAAAACATTTGACCACGACTGTATATGTGCCATTCAGCGGGTGAATGGGCAAGACAAAATATTTAAGTGCCTTTGAACGGGGTATGGTAGTAGGTGCCAGGTGCACCGGTTTGAGTATAGAGTAAAGTCCATGCACTGATGAATTAAGGCTAATAATAATAATAATAATAATAATATATACCATTTAGCAGACAATTTTATCAAATCAAATGTTATTTGTCACATGCGCCGAATACAACAGTTGTAGACCTTAATGTGAAAAGCCCTTAACCAACAATGCAGTTAAAAAAATAGAGTTAAAAATAAAATAAAAAAAGTAACACAATACCGAGGCTATATACAGGGGGTACCGGTTCCGAGTCAATGTGCGGGGCTAAAGGTTAGTCGAGGTAATTTGTACATGTAGGTAAGGGTAAAGTGACTATGCATAGATAATAAACAGCAAGTAGCAGCAGTGTAAAAAAAAGGGGGTCAATGTAAATAGTCCAGGTGGCCATTTAATTAATTGTTCAGCAGTCTTATGGCTTGGTGGTAGAAGCTGTTAAGGAGCCTTTTGGACCTAGACTTGGTGCTCCGGTACCGCTTGCCGTGCAGTAGCAGAGAGAACAGTCTATTACTTGGGTGACTGGAGTCTTTGACAATTCTTTGGGCCTTCCTTTGACACTGCCTAGTATATAGGTCCTGGATGGCAGGAAGCTTGGCCCCAGTGATGTACTGGGCCGTACGCACTACACTCTGTAGCGCCTTACGGTTGGATACCGAGCAGTTGCCATACCAGGCGGTTATGCAACCGGTCAGGATGCTCGATGGTGCAGCTGTATAACTTTTTGAGGATCTGGGGACCCATGCTAAATCTTTTTAGTCTCCTGAGGGGGAAAGGTGTTGTCATGCCCTCTTCACAACTGTCTTGGTGTGTTTGGACCATGATAGTTTCTTGGTGATGTGGACACCAAGGAACTTGAAACTCTCGACCCGCTCCACTACAGCCCCTTCGATGTGAATGGGGGCGTGTTCGGCCCTCCTTTTCCTGTAGTCCACGATCATCTCCTTTCTCTTTCTCACGTTGAGGGATAGGTTGTTGTCCTGGCACCACACTGCCAGGTCTCTGACCTCCTCCTTATAGGCTGTCTCATCGTTGTTGGTGATCAGGCCTACCACTGTTGTGTAGTCAGCAAACTTAATGATGGTGTTGGAGTTGTGCTTGGCCACGCAGTTGTGGGTGAACAGGGAGTACAGGATGGGACTAAGCACGCACCTCTAAGGGGCCCCTGTGTTGAGGATCAGCGTGGCAGATGTGTTGTTGCCTAACCTTACCACCTGGGGGCAGCCCGTCAGGAAGTCCAGGATCCAGTTGCAGAGGGATGTGTTTAGTCCCAGGGTCCTTAGTTTAGTGATGAGCTTTGAGGGCACTTTGGTGTTGACCGCTGGGCTGGAGTTAATGAACAGCATTCTCACATAGGTGTTCCTTTTGTCCAGGTGGGAAAGGGCAGTGTGGAGTGCGGTTGAGATCGCGCCATCTGTGGATCTGTTGGGGCGGTATGTGAATTGGAGTGGGTCTAGGGTTTCCGGGATGATGGTGTTGATGTGAGCCATGACCAGTCTTTCAAAGCACTTCATGGCTACCGACGTGAGTGCTACGGGGCGGTAGTCATTTAGGCAGGTTACCTTCGCTTTCTTGTGCACAGGGACTACGGTAGTCTGCTTGAAACATGTAGGTATTACAGACTCGGTCAGGGAGAGGTTGAAAATGTCAGTGAAGACACTTGCTCTGAGTACACATCCTGGTAATCCGTCTGGCCCCGCGGCCTGGTTCTATGGTGGTGGTTATGGTTAGGACCTTGTGACCTGACCAGGAAAAGGCACTAGTTACGGTACAGTAGCATTCAATGGCTTATTAGTTAGGTATTATTATTGTATGGGCGTTCCCAAAGTAAAGGTTTGGATGAAAAGCTAAAAAGGTTGAGCAAGGCTTTGACCTTGAAGAAGGAGAAAGAGGAGGAAGAAGGAGAAAGAGGAGGAGGAAGAAGAGGAGTAGGTAAGGTAGGAGGTGAAAGGTCACCTGTGAGGAGAAGGTGCAGACCAGGAAGTTGGTCTGGGACAGGAAGTGAATATCCAGGATGACTCCTCTCAGAGAGTTCTCTGTGTAGCGGTTATGGAGCCCCGCAGACCACGAGATGGAGTTATCACTGATGAACTCATAGTCTGGGTACCTGAGACACACACAGAGACAGAGGCAGTCAGAGAGCTAAAGGATAATACAGATATCAACGTGCATACGGCATTCATTCTTGTATTCTTAGTACTTTGGCACACATCAAATACAGCTTCTCGTCACACAAACAGATCCATAATACCACAAGACATTCTTGCAGACACACACACCCACACTGCCAGTGGCACGTACACACACACACACACACACACACACACACACACACACACGCACATGCACACACAGCCAGGCATACGTACTTAGCCTTGGCCTCCTGTAGTAGTGAGGGGTCGTCAGTGGCCAAGTAGACTCTCTTCTTGTCCACCAGCATGCGTCTAGCTAGGTGTTGGAAGTGGTCCTCTACATGCACCATGTACTCCTCTATAGGGTGGAAGGCTGCCTCTGTCCCCACCTTGTCTGTCCGTCTCACATGGACCCTACAGGACAGGACATATAGGGAAGATGGGTCAGAGGAGTTGAGTTAGGGGAGTGTGTGTGTATGTGTGTCTGTCCGCATGTCTCTGCAGGTGTGTTTGTGTGTGAGTGATTGTGTGTGTGTGAAGCAGAGCGCTCCTCTCCTATAGTGAAGGTCATGGTGTTTTCTAGTGATGGATGGCAGAGTGGGTTGTTTGGAGAGTGGCTGGAGCATGCAGCACTCTCCCTCTGATTCTCTTCAGCTCTCGCTCATTCTCTCTCTCTCTCTCTCCCTCTCTCTCTCTCTCAAATCAAATTGTATTTGCCACATGCTTCGTAAATAACAGGTGTAGACTAACAGTGAAATGCTTACTGACAATGCAGAGAATAATAAAAAATATAATAACACAAGGAATAAATACACAATGAGTAACGATAACTTGGCTATATACATGGGGTACCAGTGCTGAGTTGATGTGCAGGGGTATGAGGTAATTGAGGTGGATACTGTATGTACATATAGGTAGGGGTAAAGTGATTAGGCAACAGGATAGATAATAAACAGTAGCAGCAGCGTATGTGATGAGTCAAAAGAGTTAGAGCAAAAAGGGTCAATACAGATAGTCCGGGTAGCTATTTGATTAACTATTTAGCAGTCTTATGGCTTGGGGGTGGAAGCTGTTCAGGGTCTTGTTGGTTCCAGAATTGGTGCATTGGTACCGCTTGCCATGTGGTAGCAGAGAGAACAGTCTATGACTTGGTGGCTTGAGTCATTGACAATTTTTAGGGCCTTCCTCTGACACCGCCTGGTATAGAGGTCCTGGATGGCAGCGAGCTCGGCCCCAGTGATGTACTGGGCCGTACGCACAAACTTCAGTAGCGCCTTGAGGTCGGATGCCAAGCAGTTGACATACCAAGCGGTGATGCAGCCAGTCAAATGCTCTCAATGGTGCAGCTGTAGTGTTAAGTGCAGTGCAGGTCCTTGGAGATTGTCTGACAGTCCTCCTAGTCTGCCTCTTTAGCCCTTTCCCCTCCAACTGGCATCTCACTCCACAACAGTCCATCAACAGTCTACAGGCCCTACAGAGCTCATGGCATCACAGGTTGGGTCACAATGCTCTTAGATGCCTCCCTCAGTTCAGAATATTGGGATATAGCCATAGCCTTATAACCATTACAGCAGGGGTAGGTAACTACATTTTTGTCTGAGTGGATGGTCAGGGGGCCGGAACATAATTCTAATAATTTGTACTGTACACTGCAAATTGACCACTACTAAACCCAAAAATAGATTTTATTTGAAAAATAACAATAATTTCATACCTGGATTACATTGAGATACAATCACATATGTCTCTTTTTTTTATTGGTGGGAATACTTGGGTACAGATTTCCTAAATTATTATTAGTTGAATTCCTGGTGATTTTACAATATTTTTTGACCGCCCCCCCCCCCCCCAAAAAAAACAATAATAATAATAATAATAATAATAATAATATATATATATATACACAGTGGGGGAAAAAAGTATTTAGTCAGCCACCAATTGTGCAAGTTCTCCCACTTAAAAATATGAGAGAGGCCTGTAATTTTCATCATAGGTACACGTCAACTATGACAGACAAATTGAGATTTTTTTTCTCCAGAAAATCACATTGTAGGATTTTTTATGAATTTATTTGCAAATTATGGTGGAAAATAAGTATTTGGTCACCTACAAACAAGCAAGATTTCTGGCTCTCACAGACCTGTAACTTCTTCTTTAAGAGGCTCCTCTGTCCTCCACTCGTTACCTGTATTAATGGCACCTGTTTGAACTTGTTATCAGTATAAAAGACACCTGTCCACAACCTCAAACAGTCACACTCCAAACTCCACTATGGCCAAGACCAAAGAGCTGTCAAAGGACACCAGAAACACAATTGTAGACCTGCACCAGGCTGGGAAGACTGAATCTGCAATAGGTAAGCAGCTTGGTTTGAAGAAATCAACTGTGGGAGCAATTATTAGGAAATGGAAGACATACAAGACCACTGATAATCTCCCTCGATCTGGGGCTCCACGCAAGATCTCACCCCGTGGGGTCAAAATGATCACAAGAACGGTGAGCAAAAATCCTAGAACCACACGGGGGGACCTAGTGAATGACCTGCAGAGAGCTGGGACCAAAGTAACAAAGCCTACCATCAGTAACATACTACGCCGCCAGGGACTCAAATCCTGCAGTGCCAGACGTGTCCCCCTGCTTAAGCCAGTACATGTCCAGGCCCGTCTGAAGTTTGCTAGAGTGCATTTGGACGATCCAGAAGAGGATTGGGAGAATGTCATATGGTCAGATGAAACCAAAATATAACTTTTTGGTAAAAACTCAACTCGTCGTGTTTGGAGGACAAAGAATGCTGAGTTGCATCCAAAGAACACCATACCTACTGTGAAACATGGGGGTGGAAACATCATGCTTTGGGGCTGTTTTTCTGCAAAGGGACCAGGACGACTGATCCGTGTAAAGGAAAGAATGAATGGGGCCATGTATCGTGAGATTTTGAGTGAAAACCTCCTTCCATCAGCAAGGGCATTGAAGATGAAACGTGGCTGGGTCTTTCAGCATGACAATGATCCCAAACACACCGCCCGGGCAACGAAGGAGTGGCTTCGTAAGAAGCATTTCAAGGTCCTGGAGTGGCCTAGCCAGTCTCCAGATCTCAACCCCATAGAAAATCTTTGGAGGGAGTTGAAAGTCTGTGTTGCCCAGCGACAGCCCCAAAACATCACTGCTCTAGAGGAGATCTGCATGGAGGAATGGGCCAAAATACCAGCAACAGTGTGTGAAAACCTCGTGAAGACTTACAGAAAACGTTTGACCTGTGTCATTGCCAACAAAGGGTATATAACAAAGTATTGATGACTTTTGTTATTGGCCAAATACTTATTTTCCACCATAATTTGCAAATAAATTCATTAAAAATCCTACAATGTGATTTTCTGGATTTTTTTCTCTCATTTTGTCTGTCATAGTTGACGTGTACCTATGATGAAAATTACAGGCCTCTCTCATCTTTTTAAGTGAGAGAACTTGCACAATTGGTGGCTGACTAAATACTTTTTTCCCCCACTGTATATATACATACACTACCAGTCAAACGTTTAGACACACCTACTCATTCAAGGGTTTTTCTTTATTTTTACTATTTTCTACATTGTAGAATAATAGTGAAGACATCAAAACTATGAAATAACACATATGGAATCATGTAGTAACCAAAAAAGTGTTAAACAAATCAAAATATATTTTATATTTGAGATTCTTCAAATAGCCACCCTTTGCCTTGATGACAGCTTTGCACACTCTTGGCAGTCTCTCAACCAGCTTCATGAGGTAGTCACCTGGAATGCATTTCAATTAACAGATGTGCCTTCTTAAAAGTTAATTTGTGGAATTTATTTCCTTCTTAATGCATTTGAGCCAATCAGTTGTGTTGTGACAAGGTAGGGTGGTATACAGAAGATAACCCTATTTGGTCAAATACCAAGGCAAGAACAGCTCAAATAAGCAAAGAGAAACGACAGTCCATCATTACTTTAAGACATGAAGGTCAGTCAATACGGAACATTTCAAGAACTTCGAAAGTTTCTTCAAGTGCAGTTGCAAAACCATCAAGCACTATGATGAAACTGGCTCTCATGAAGACCACCACAGGAATGCAAGACCCAGAGTTACCTCTGCTGCAGAGGATACGTTCATTAGAGTTACCAGCCTCAGAAATTGCAGCCCAAATAAATGCTTCACAGAGTTCAAGTAACAGACACATCTCAACATCAACTGTTCAGAGGGGACTGTGTGAATCAGGCCTTCATGGTTGAATTGCTACAAATAAACCACTACTAAAGGACACCAATAAGAAGAAGAGACCTGCTTGGGCCAAGAAACACGAGCAATGGACATTAGACCGGTGGAAATGTGTCCTTTGGTCTGGAATCCAAATTGCAGATTTTTGGTTCAAACCACTGTGTCTTTGTGAGACGTGGTGTGGGTGAATGGATGATCTCTGCATGTGTAGTTCCCACGGTAAAGCATGGAGGAGGAGGTGTTATGGTGTGGGGGTGCTTTGCTGGTGCCACTGTCTGTGATTTATTTAGAATTCAAGGCACACTTAACCAGCATGGCTACCAAAGCATTCTGCAGCGATACGCCATCCCATCTGGTTTGGGCTTAGTGGGACTATCATTTGTTTTTCAACAGGACAATGACCCAACACACCTCGAGGCTGTGTAAGGGCTATTTTACCAAGAAGGAGAGTGATGGAGTGCTGCATCAGATGACCTGGCCTCCACAATCCCCCGACCTCAACCAAATTGAGATGGTTTGGGATGTGTCGGACCACAGAGTGAAGGAAAAGCAGCCAACAAGTGCTCAGCATATGTGGGAACTATATAAATCACACCTGTTGCCGACACCTGCCTTACAGTGTGGTACTTCCTGAGAAGGTCTGAGGGGAGAGGAGATCCCACTGCTCACTACAAAGAGACAGACAACCCAGCACTTCACAGGACTCTACCTTCTCCCTCCCTCCCTCCCTCCCTCTCTCCCACAACATAAAAGGAAAATAACTGCTTTTACTTTTCAATTACATCTCTCAGTGGGGATAGCGATAAGGAATGTGTGGGCATGTGTGTATCCATTAAGACAGAGATAGATAGAGGGGCCAAAAATATATAGCATTTGTGTGTCTGTGTATGTGTGTGTGTACGCACATACAGTACATGTGTGCTTGCATGCATAGTGCGTCCACCTACCCTATGATGGGGTGCCTAAAGCCCAGTTTGGCGGTGGTATCCTGGATCTCCTTCTCCAGCCAGGCCTGGGGCCGGATCAGGTACTTGACAAACTGAGACACCCACCAGACGGATGGGTCACCATGGAGCCGGTGGAGGCGCTGGGCCAGGTCCTCGGGAATGGCCAGGGGCAGGTAGGGGGGGCGGGGGTGCAGGCTGTCCACGATGGGCAACTCTACCACCTGGACATCTCTGTCATTAGCCTCACCTGGGGGGAGAGAGGGAGGAGTGGAGGTTAATAAAGAGTGGAAGGCAGATAGGGAGAGGTAAAGAGACCGAGAGAGAGACAGTGTCAGAGAGGAAGAGAGAGAGATGGAAGGTAATAATAGAGTGCTTTTGACATACAGACACAGCAATATATAAATGATCAGCTCACTAGCCTCCAGCACGGGGGTTTGATGCATGTAGCAGTAAAGATGCACTGAGCATCATGAGCTGTCTGAACAGCAGAACACAGGGAGAAGTCTCTCTCTCTCTCTCTCTCTCTCTCTCTCTCTCTCTCTCTCTCTCTCTCTCTATCCCCCCAGGACACCCTGTCGTACAGTTCTTATTATTAAAAACACAAGACAAAGGTATTTTGTGGCCTGTGAGTGGTTAGTTAAAGTGCTATTGTAGTCCTTCACCCTTCCTCTGTGAGTATAGGAGTGCTGTTGAGAGTAATAATTAGTGTCACATGCCTCAAGTACAGTTTAAATGATCAGTTATCAAGTCAATAAAATATGAATGAGTTACTTATTACAATGGGACATTCCCATGGAGGAAAGGAAGAGAGAAAGTGAAGAAAGGGTAGAGAGATCCTTTATTTCTCTCTCTCTCACTCTGCCCTTTCTCTCTCCCTTTCTACCCCTGGTTTCTCCCTTCTCAGGCTAATTAGGAAAGACCTAAAATCTAAATTACATCTTGAAGAAATGAAGGGGGGAGGGAGGGGGGGGGGGGGTTAGAGGGTGTGTGTTTGTTGTAATTCATGCTGAGAGTGTTTGAGTGTGGGATAGGGATATAATCCATCCACCACGGTAGTGATGTCTGTCTCTGTCCTTCTGTTCCCCTCTGCCTCAGACCTGACAAGGGCCCATCAATGTCTCAGACAGCCAATCGTTTACCAATGTCGTAAACTACATAGTGCTTTAACGATGGTAATAAAATCACACTGGGTCGGTGACAGTCACTCTTCTGTTCTACACAGCCCAGTCACAGCTCAAGGCTCAAGGCTAGAGTCCCTATGGTTGCTTTCCAAATGGCACCCGGTTTCCTACATAATGCACCAATTTTCTATTTATCTCAGTAGGCTAGCAATGTAAATGTCTGTGCGTCATATATTGTAATTCTATGATGTTCTCCTTTCTTCGCTCCTTCTCTCTCCTTCTCTCCCTCCAGTCAGTCTCTCGTTTCCTCTTGCCTCTCATCTTCTCTCTCCCTCCTCTTCTCGCCACCTCCCTTTATTCCTCCAGTCTCTCCTTCTCCTCCTTTCTCTCCTCTCCTAGTCTCTTCTATCTTCCCTTCTCTGTTCTCTCCTTCAGTCTCTGACGCTCTCTCCTTCCCTCCCTCTCTCTCTCCCTCGTCTTTCCTGTCTTCCACACTTTGTTCTTCGAGTGTCTGTCTTTTCTCCTCACCTCCTCTCGACTGGAGGACCTACTTCAGCAGTGTCCCTGGGACAGGAAGACGAGCCCTCTGAACAAAGATAGAAGGGTACAATTGTGTTGTTTTTGAGGTCAGTTCTTTCATGTTTGGAAGGCATTCTCTCCCTCAGGCACAACACATGGAAGCTTTGTGTTAAAAAAAAAACATCTCTACAGTTGGGAGGCAGGCTCTCTCACTCTCTCTCTCTCTCAGGCTGTTTTTCATTGTATTCTGTTTTTCATCATATTCCAAGACCTGTAGTAGCCCCTTCTGATATGAGAAGAAAGACTAAAACAGAGTAGGGGCAGACTCAAAGCTCCACACTACTCATCACCATTCTCCATGTACCATGCATAGATGTATAATGTCATTCTGTTTCTATGGTATCCTACACACTGTGTGAGGTCTGTAGCTATGGACACAAACCCAACTGAGGACAGAGGGCAGAATGTGTTCAGTCTGCGTGTGGCCTGTTGCCATGGACATGGCCCCATTATCAGAGGTCAGAATCACATCATGGTCAACTCACCTGACCAGTGTCCGGTGGTGACCCCGGTGCGGTCAGTGCAAGTCTGACTGACTGGGAGGAAGACGGTCTCCCAGCCTCCCGTGGCATAGCGCCAGTTCTGGGACTCCAGGATAAGGGTGCGCTGGGTGCCGTAGGCGATCATGAAGCAGTAGACCACATGGTGCAGCTGGCAGCCGTAGCCACAGCCCTTGTTGATGTTACACACCAGCTTCCTGGCCTTGGAGCAGTCCTGGGGATTCTGGAAGGGAGAGGGGAGGAAAAGGGAGAGGATTGTTGTTAAAACACAGGGAGACCTGAGGTGCCTTGTTAGTAAATGTTACAGTGAAGAGTCGAGGCATTGACACACATTTGAGAGCCAAAAGTGTATTTCAGTGTGCAGGTTCTTCAGTTGACCTTCTCTTCACCTTATCAAAATACAGACACACTATCCTTTCTGTACTAGAAATACAGAGACAGACACGCACTACTGGGCACAGAAGGCTTTGACTGGCGTACTACCTCATGCTTCAAAGCAGTCTGTATGCTCTGCTCTGCTGGAGGGGAGTCAGGGAGGGTCTGAAGACATTTACATTTTAGTCATTTAGCAGACCCTCTTATCCAGAGCGACATACAGTTAGTGAGTGCATACATTTTCATACTGGCCCCACGTGGGAATCAAACCCACAACCCTGGCGTTGCAAGCGCCATGCTCTACCAACTGAGCTACAACATCCATTACCGTGACCATTCCCTTTGTTAACGCCTATCCTGATCCTGATAATCAGGTTGAGAACATGTTAACAAAGATCTATGATTACAGCTCTGAGACTGTAGGAGCTTGTGTGTGTGTGTGTGTGTGTGTGTGTGTGTGTGTGTGTGTGACTGGAGGGGGTAGTTTATGGGAATGTCAACCGTCAGTCAATGGCAGTTGACGGGAGATGTATGGTGGGGACTGGCGAGCATGGAGAGAGAGATAGAGAGAGAGCGAGAGAGAGAGATAGTGTAGAGTGTGTGTACATGCATGTGAATGTGTGTGTGTGTAATTATGTGTGTGTGTGTGTGTGTGTGTGTATAGAGCGTATAAGCGGTTAGCCTCCCTCCATTGACTGTGTGACTGGTGATGGAAAAATGAGGCAGGGCCAGAGAGGCGGGCAATACTACTGCTCCTCCATCACATCAGCCACTATTTTCCATTAGCCACTATTTTATCAGACTAGCGCACACACACACACTGAGTCGACCGACACAATTCATCAAGTTAATCACTAGCTAGCTAACGTTAATAGCACACAGGGATTCAATATTACTAATTAACAACCTCTACCTTGCTCTCACCATTCCTTATGATTAACTAGCCTATACACACATACGTTGGGCCAGTAACCGAAAGGTCGCTGGTTCGAATACCCGAGCAGACAAGGTGAAAGATATGCCGAAGTACCCTTGAGCAAAGGCACTTAACCTTCATTTGTTCTAGAGGCGTCGAGCTACTATGGCTGACCCTGTAAAACAACACATTTCACTGCACCTATCTGGTGTATGTGACAATATTTGTTCATATGCATTCGCACAAACACCCATGCACACTTCCACACATGAACGCCCATTTTCTATAATATATTAGTAAACGGACACAGTTTGGATTCTTGTCACTCTCACAAACAGAACAAAGTTGCTTAACCTAGCTAGCTCTACTTCTTTACGAGACATACAGCAGGTATGACTTTGTCGTGAGGCCTGGCACCAACAACATCATTACAAGCGTGTCAGGAGGAGGGAGAGAAGCATCTTGCTGAATCTGCAGATATAAGCCCAACTAACAGCAGAGAAGGTAGACAATCACATCCTTAGCTGTTTTAATCCTGTTATACAGTACACTGACGGGGGGGGGGGTGTTACCGTCAGAGGGGTGTGTGTACCCCTGACAGAGGGGAACTCTACCTGCCTCTCCATACAGACCTGCTCAGCCCACACACACAGTACAGACCAGCATTACTGTGACAGAAATGGCTATAATAAAAGCTGTACCGATTTTGATTGATTGTTTAATCGATCAGCTAAAGTGATGTGTGGAATATCCCTATGTGGATTCTAACCAGTCCCTGGTGTGTGGTAAAAGGCCATCCTGCTCTACTGTGGGTGTCCATATGTGTACTAGGTGTTGAGCTGTGTTGTGGACATTACTGTACCTGGAGGTATGTGATCCTGTTCTGTACCAGGTCAGACAGGTCCTTGGCCTCCTTCTCTCTCCAGTCTCCTGCTCCATCAGCCTGGCTCAGGTAGTGCAGGTCAGTCATGATGGACCTGGGGTCAACACGCGCACACACACACACACACACATTAACATAGGGTTAGAGGTTAGAGATCACAGCTGGGTCATAACGTTGCAAGGCTCCCATGGTGTATTATGTAACACGTTATCCATGTGTGTTCTGGTGTAAACGTGTGTCTCTGTGTGTGATAGACGAGAGGACACTTTCCATTTTTGAGCGGCAACAACTGATGCGACCTAGAAAAACTTGCCCCAAACCGAGTGAGATGGAGGACATTCGTCAACGGCCTATGCTCCTTAAAGGAGAAATATGTGTGTGTCTTTGTGCGTGTGTGTGTGCGTGAGACGAGAGTGTGTGTGCGCGTGACCTCTGCTGGTGCCCCAGGTCCTGTAGCAAAGTGTGTGTGTGTGTGTCTGTGTTTGTGTCTGTGTGTGTGTGTGTGTCTGTATGCGTGAGAGCGTGAGACGAGAGTGTGTGTGTGTTACCTCTGCTGGTGTCCCAGCTCCTGCAGCAGTGTGTCGATGTGTTTCTGCAGGTCCCCCTGCTCCATGTGACCCAGCTTCTTGACCTCACTGCGGACAAAGTACCAGATCTCCTTCACCCCGTTCTCTATCTTCCTCCGCAGCTCTTCCTGGTTCCTACCTGGCCCTGGAAATAAGAAAAAAAAAAAAATATCACACACAGGAAGGGAAAAAGGGAGGACAACGGAAGGTTGTTTCAAACATATTTATCATGAAATCAAATGCATTTTGGGAGAACACACATATACGATTACAGACACACATAGTCAGCTGAGATTTTCTCTAGCACCAGATACCGGTTGCCCTTAGACACAGATCCTGGATCAGCTAAGAACACAGGACATCACATCACACAGTCAGCTAATCCCTTGAGAAAGGCACTTAACCCCTAACCTGCAGACTACAGCAAAAAAAAAATATCCATTTCGATGGACAATACAAATTGCTCTTAGAGACAGATCCAGGGTTAACTTACTCTCACCCTAAAGCAGAGATGGGCAACTTTGATGGGGGTGAAAACGAACTCATCATGAGGGGCTGCAGTAGCTCGTGTGTCTGCGTACCCACATCCATACCCTCCCCCTCCCCTGCCAGCAAAACATTGTAGTTTTTAAGTTTTAAAGTTCATTTCCTGCAATTCTACACATTTTGCCATGGGGTGGAGAGAAGATTTAGCAATTGTATAACACATTTCCTGCAATTCTACATATTTTACCATAGGGTGGAGGCAGGGCCGGCCCTCTCATTAGGCAAGATTAGGCAACCGCCTATGGCGGCACTTGCATTTGGGGCGGCATTTTGAAAACTGGCTGCCGCCCTCCGGCGCCCCTGATCGGCTGCTACACCGCCGACGGCACCCCAGCCACCATCTCATTGCGTTGCTGCAGTTCCCGCCCTCACCCCATTCTCCCGAAGTTCACTCCCACTATCCTTGGTAGCTATGGTGATGTGTGTGTTTCTATGGGATTATCCAATTGTGAAACATTAATAAAAATGAATCTGCCAATGAAATTATTGTTTTGTTTTTTATGTTTGTGTATGACGAAGACGATTAGTGATTAAGGCAGTAGCCTAACCTAGCCTGTTAATGTTAGCTAGCTGCTACTAGTGGACATAATTTTAGCTAAAAGTAATCTATGGAGATTTGAAACAATTTGCTACCATGTCTATGAGACAAAATCTATCAGGAAGCGAATATTAAAAATTTAAAAAACGAATGAGAAAAGAGGACAGTCTCTAAACCAAAGAAATCCGCTGCTGACATTTATCAGCGTGCAGCAATGTCCATCAGCCGGTGTGGAGAATGACAAGCCTCAGAGGACAGGCCATTCATTCGCTGAGAACAACGAGCCCCCGTTCTCTGATTCTAGCAGCGAAGAGGGCAAACTGGAGGAGTCCGAGCCATGCATTTCCACTGATGATGACAGCTCTCTGGCTGGACAAGAACAGGTGGTTGCATCAGGCTTAGCCACACCTACAAGCAATGCCGGAGAAGACCCTACTATCTTGGACCCGGATTCAGATTCGTCACTCCCCGTCCCCGATGACAGTGGTGGTGCTGCTGCTATATCCAACTCCCAGAAAAAAACATAAAAGATCCCAGTGAGTGGCCAAAATATATGAATGGATCTTTACTTATATGTTAGTGCAGGCTGGGCCACATCAGGATAAAGAGGGGGAATTTCCCAAGAGATGAGGGGCAATGAAAGTTTTCGGTGGCCCACTACAATAGAAGGATGGCAAAGGGGGAGAGAGTGGAGAGACCATGGCTTGTCTATTCCAAGCAAAACGATGCAGCCTTCTGTTTTTGCTGCAAACTTTTTTCACACGAGTGCAAATCTGCGCTGGTCAGGCATGGAACCAGGGACTGGAAGAATCTGTGCCACCTCCTCAGTGTCACGTTCGTTCAATGACGGGTCAGACCAAGGCGCAGCGTGATATACGTACAGTGTATATAATAGTTAGCAGGAACAGGCCGGGCCGGACTGTGGAGGCGGACTGCAGGTCTGGAGCGGAGAGCTGGCACAACCCGTCCTGGCTGAATGCCTACTTCTGCATAGTATGTGTGAGGCATCAGTACAGGACGCACTGGGCTGTGCACGCGCACTGGCGATACAGTTCGTAGAACTGGCGCAGGATATGCGGGACCGAGGAGGCGTACTGGAGACCAGGAGCGTTGAGCCGGCACACCCCGTCCTGGCTGGATGCCCATCTTCGCACGGCACGTGCGTGGTGCAAGCACAGGACGTACAGGACTGTGCCGGCGCACTGGCGACACAGTACGTAGCTCCACATAACACGGAGCCTGCCCAGGAACACGCACCACTGTCTTGGTGCGAGGCGCAGGAACAGGCCGGGCCGGACTGGCGACGCGCACCACTGGCTTGGTGCGAGGAGCAGGAACAGGCCGGACCGGACTGGCGACGCGCACCCCTGGCTTGGTGCGAGGAGCAGGAACAGGCCGAGCTGGACTGGGAACGCGCACCCCTGGCTTGGTGCGAGGAGCAGGAACAGGCCGGGGCGGACTGGGAGCACACACCACTGGCTTGGTGCGAGGAGCAGGAACAGGCCGGGCCGGACTGGGAACATGCCCCACTGGCTTGGTGCGAGGAGCAGGAACAGGCCGGGCCGGGCTGGCGACGCGCACCACTGGCTTGGTGCGAGGAGCAGGAACAGGCCGGACTGGCGACACGCACCACTGGCTTGGTGCGAGGAGCAGGAACAGGCCGGGCTGGGCTGGCGACGCGCACCACTGGCTTGGTGCAAGGAGCAGGAACAGGCCGGGCCGGACTGTGGAGGCGGACTGGAGGTCTGGAGCGGAGAGCTGGCACAACCCGTCCTGGCTGAATGCCTACTTCTGCACAGTATGTGTGAGGCATCAGCACAGGACGCACTGGGCTGTGCACGCGCACTGGCGATACAGTTCGTAGAACTGGCGCAGGATATGCGGGACCGAGGAGGCGTACTGGAGACCAGGAGCGTTGAGCCGGCACACCCCGTCCTGGCTGGATGCCCATCTTCGCACGGCACGTGCGTGGTGCAAGCACAGGACGTACAGGACTGTGCCGGCGCACTGGCGACACAGTACGTAGCTCCACATAACACGGAGCCTGCCCAGGAACACGCACCACTGTCTTGGTGCGAGGCGCAGGAACAGGCCGGGCCGGACTGGCGACGCGCACCACTGGCTTGGTGCGAGGAGCAGGAACAGGCCGGACCGGACTGGCGACGCGCACCCCTGGCTTGGTGCGAGGAGCAGGAACAGGCCGAGCTGGACTGGGAACGCGCACCCCTGGCTTGGTGCGAGGAGCAGGAACAGGCCGGGGCGGACTGGGAGCACACACCACTGGCTTGGTGCGAGGAGCAGGAACAGGCCGGGCCGGACTGGGAACATGCCCCACTGGCTTGGTGCGAGGAGCAGGAACAGGCCGGGCCGGGCTGGCGACGCGCACCACTGGCTTGGTGCGAGGAGCAGGAACAGGCCGGACTGGCGACACGCACCACTGGCTTGGTGCGAGGAGCAGGAACAGGCCGGGCTGGGCTGGCGACGCGCACCACTGGCTTGGTGCGAGGAGCAGGAACAGGCCGGGCCGGACTGTGGAGGCGGACTGGAGGTCTGGAGCGGAGAGCTGGCACAACCCGTCCTGGCTGAATGCCTACTTCTGCACAGTATGTGTGAGGCATCAGCACAGGACGCACTGGGCTGTGCACGCGCACTGGCGATACAGTTCGTAGAACTGGCGCAGGATATGCGGGACCGAGGAGGCGTACTGGAGACCAGGAGCGTTGAGCCGGCACACCCCGTCCTGGCTGGATGCCCATCTTCGCACGGCACGTGCGTGGTGCAAGCACAGGACGTACAGGACTGTGCCGGCGCACTGGCGACACAGTACGTAGCTCCGTATAACACGGAGCCTGCCCAGTCATACGCTTCCTCGCGTGAGTACGGGGAGTTGGCTCTGCTCTGACACTAGGCTCTGACACTAGGCTCCGCCAACCACCCTGTGTGCCCCTCCCAAAAAATGTATTGGGGCTGCTTCTCGGGCATCCTCCTCGACCGGCCTCCTCCGTGTTGCCGTTGCACCTCTCCTGCCTGGGCATCTACCTTAGCCCATGGTCCTCTCCCCGCAAATATCTCTTCCCATGACCACAAATTGCCCACCTGTGACATGGCTATTCGCTCCGCCTAGGCACGCTGCTTGGTCCTCGTTTGGTGGGATCTTCTGTCAAGTTCGTTCAATGACGGGTCAGACCAAGGCGCAGCGTGATATACGTACATGTTTATTAACTTATAAACACCACGACAAAACAACGAAACGTGAAGTCCATGGTAGAACACACAACATACCTTACACGGAACAAGATCCCACAACTCAACAGTGCCAATAGGCTGCCTAAGTATGATCTCCAATCAGAGACAACGAGCGACAGCTGCCTCTGATTGGGAACCACACCGGCCAACATAGAACTATACATACTAGAATGACAACCATAGAATAACACAACACAGAATATACACACCCTGACTCAACATATACGAGTCCCCTGAGTCAGGGCGTGACACTCAGCTTGCATGAGAAGTCGCATGACCACCTAGATACAGTGGGGGAAAAAAGTATTTAGTCAGCCACCAATTGTGCAAGTTCTCCCACTTAAAAAGATGAGAGAGGCCTGTAATTTTCATCATAGGTACACGTCAACTATGACAGACAAATTGAGATTTTTTTTCTCCAGAAAATCACATTGTAGGATTTTTAATGAATTTATTTGCAAATTATGGTGGAAAATAAGTATTTGGTAACCTACAAACAAGCAAGATTTCTGGCTCTCACAAACCTGTAACTTCTTCTTTAAGAGGCTCCTCTGTCCTCCACTCGTTACCTGTATTAATGGCACCTGTTTGAACTTGTTATCAGTATAAAAGACACCTGTCCACAACCTCAAACAGTCACACTCCAAACTCCACTATGGCCAAGACCAAAGAGCTGTCAAACTAAATTGTAGACCTGCACCAGGCTGGGAAGACTGAATCTGCAATAGGTAAGCAGCTTGGTTTGAAGAAATCATCTGTGGGAGCAATTATTAGGAAATGGAAGACATACAAGACCACTGATAATCTCCCTCGATCTGGGGCTCCACGCAAGATCTCACCCCGTGGGGTCAAAATGATCACAAGAACGGTGAGCAAAAATCCCAGAACCACACGGGGGGACCTAGTGAATGACCTGCAGAGAGCTGGGACCAAAGTAACAAAGCCTACCATCAGTAACACACTACGCCGCCAGGGACTCAAATCCTGCAGTGCCAGACGTGTCCCCCTGCTTAAGCCAGTACATGTCCAGGCCCGTCTGAAGTTTGCTAGAGTGCATTTGGATGATCCAGAAGAGGATTGGGATAATGTCATATGGTCAGATGAAACCAAAATAGAACTTTTTGGTAAAAACTCAAAGAATGCTGAGTTGCATCCAAAGAACACCATACCTACTGTGAAGCATGGGGGTGGAAACATCATGCTTTGGGGCTGTTTTTCTGCAAAGGGACCAGGACAACTGATCCGTGTAAAGGAAAGAATGAATGGGGCCATGTATCGTGAGATTTTGAGTGAAAACCTCCTTCCATCAGCAAGGGCATTGAAGATGAAACGTGGCTGGGTCTTTCAGCATGACAATGATCCCAAACACACTGCCCGGGCAACGAAGGAGTGGCTTCGTAAGAAGCATTTCAAGGTCCTGGAGTGGCCTAGCCAGTCTCCAGATCTCAACCCCATAGAAAATCTTTGGAGGGAGTTGAAAGTCCGTGTTGCCCAGCGACAGCCCCAAAACATCACTGCTCTAGAGGAGATCTGCATGGAGGAATGGGCCAAAATACCAGCAACAGTGTGTGAAAACCTTGTGAAGACTTACAGAAAACGTTTGACCTGTGTCATTGCCAACAAAGGGTATATAACAAAGTATTGAGAAACTTTTGTTATTGACCAAATACTTATTTTCCACCATAATTTGCAAATAAATTCATTAAAAATCCTACAATGTGATTTTCTGGATTTTTTTCTCTCATTTTGTCTGTCATAGTTGACGTGTACCTATGATGAAAATTACAGGCCTCTCTCATCTTTTTAAGTGGGAGAACTTGCACAATTGGTGGCTGACTAAATACTTTTTCCCCCACTGTAGTTTCCAAAGGTGGAAGGAGCTGGAGATCAGGCTAGTGTCCAAGCAAACTATCGATGCCCAAGCCCAACGGGCTATTGACAGAGAGACTCTCCACTGGCAGCATGTGCTGCAGAGGCTCATAGCCCTGATACGCGTAATGGCCACCCAGAACATTGCGTTTATGGAAATGCTGGGTATCTTTGATGGAATCATGAAGGAGTATGTAAGGAGAGTACAGTCCAAAGAAACACATACACTACAGTGGCTTGCGAAAGTATTCACCCCCCTTGGCATTTTTCCTATTTTGTTGCCTTACAACCTGGAATTAAAATTGATTTTTTTGGGGTTTCTATCATTTGATTTACACAACATGCCTACCACTTTGAAGATCCAAAATATTTTTTGGGGTGAAACAAACAAGAAATAAGACAAAAAAACGGAAAACTTGAGTGTGCATAACTATTCACCCCCCCAAAGTCAATACTTTGTAGAGCCACCTTTTGTAGAAATTACAGCTGCAAGTCTCTTGGGGTATGTCTCTATAAACTTGGCACATCTAGCCACTGGGATTTTTGCCCATTCTTCAAGGCAAAACTGCTCCAGCTCCTTCAAGTTGAATGGGTTCCGCTGGTGTACAGTAATCTTTAAGTCATACCACAGATTCTCAATTGGATTGAGGTCTGGGCTTTAAGAACGCCATTCCAAGACATTTAAAAGTTTCCCCTTAAACCACTCAAGTGTTGCTTTAGCAGTATGCTTAGGGTCATTGTCCTGCTGGAACGTGAACCTCCGTCCCAGTCTCAAATCTCTGGAACACTGAAATAATTTCCCTGTATTTAGCGCCATCCATCATTCCTTCAATTCTGACCAGTTTCCCAGTCCCTGCTGATGAAAAACATCCCCACAGCATGATGCTGCCACCACCATGCTTCACTGTGGGGATGGTGTTCTTGGGGTGATGAGAGGTGTTGGGTTTGCGCCAGACATAGCGTTTTCCTTGATGGCCAAAAAGCTCAATTTTAGTCTCATCTGACCAGAGTACCTTCTTCCATATGTTTGGGGAGTCTCCCAAATGTGTTTGCTTATTTTTTTCTTTAAGCAATGGCTTTTTTCTGGCCACCCTTCCGTAAAGCCCAGCTATGTGGAGTGTTTGGCTTAAAGTGGTCCTATGGACAGATACTCCAATCTCCGCTGTGGAGCTTTGCAGCTCCTTCAGTGTTATCTTTGGTATCTTTGTTGCCTCTCTGATTAATGCCATCCTTGCCAGTTTTGGTGGGCGGCCCTCTCTTGGCAGGTTTGTTGTGATGCCATATTCTTTCAATTTTTTTATAATGGATTTAATGGTGCTCCGTGGGATGTTCAAAGTTTCAGACATTTTTTTATAACCCAACAATGATCTGTACTTCTCCACAACTCTGTCCTTGACCTGTTTGGAGAGCTCCTTGGTATTCATGGTGCCGCTTGCTTGGTGGTGCCCCTTATTAGTGGTGTTGCAGACTCTGGCGCCTTTCAGAACAGGTGTAGATCACGTGACACTTATATTGCACACAGGTGAAGTTTATTTAACTAATTATGTGACTTCTGAAGGTAATTGGTTGCACCAGATCTTATTTAGGGGCTTCATAGCAAAAGGGGGGAATACATATGCACGCCCCATTTTCCATTATTAATTTGTTAGAATTTTTTGAAACAAGTTATTTTTTTCATTTCACTTCACCAATTTTGACTATTTTGTGTATGACCATTACATGAAATCCCCCGAAAAATCTATTTAAATTACAGGCTGTAACGCAACAAAATAGGAAAAATGCCAAGGGGGATGAATACTTTTGCAAGGCACTGTACCTTGGTAAAAGAATCCAGAAAGAAATCATTGACATGCTGGCACAAGAGATCCAGCAGACAGTGTGCAGTGATCTAAAAGCAGCCAAATATTTTTCTATAATTTTGGACTGCACACAAGACACGAGCAAAACAGAGCTGATGACCATGGTGGTGCGTTTAGTTTCAACCGAGGATGATGGATTAGTGCGCAAGAGAGAGCAGTTCCTAGAGTTTAGTGAACTGCTTGATGCAACGGGGGCAGGCATGACCGAGTTGCTCATCTCAAAACTACAGAAACATGGCATCGCCATCATGGACATGAGAGGGCAGAGGTATGACAACGGGGCGAATGTGCGGGGGAGGCACAGCGGAGTTCAAAAGAGAGTGCAGGATATCAATCCAATGGCCTTTTTTGTGCCATGCAGCGCACACTCGCTGAACCTGGTTCTCTCTGATGCAGCATCGTGTTGCTTGGAGGCGGCTGAGTTTTTTAACACCATCCAAGAGATCTATACATTTTTATCCGGATCTACACACAGCTAGAATGTTTTGAAAGAGCACGTAAAAGATGGACTCACAGTGAAACCCCTCAGTGCCACGAGATGGAAGAGCCGAGTGGAGGCTGTAAAACCTGTGCGTTACCAACTCTGGGAGATTTATGATGCCCTGTTGTCGATCACCACGGACACCATGCTCACAGGCAGCTGTGGTGCTAAAACAATGTTGGAGGCAAACAGCATAGCCGCCAAGATGAATAACTTTGGCTTCATGTGCGCAGTGGTCGTTTGGTAAGACATCTTGTTCGAAGTGAACATCACCAGTTAGAGTTTGCATGCGGTGAGTTTTAACCTTTTACTAGCAGTGGCTCAACTGAACTCAACCAGGGTATTCCTCCAAGACTACCGCTCCGATGCAGCTTTCGCTGGCGCTTTAGCAAGCGCAAAAGAGTTGGTAGAGGAGATCGGTATTGAGCCATGTTTCCCAGTGCAGCCCACGGTCCGTCCCAGGAAGAAGAGGAGTCTATTTGGCTACGAGGGAGAGGATGAGCCTGTGACTGACCCTCAGCAGAAATTCAAAGTACATTTCTTTAATCAGATTCTTGATTTTGCTATCCAGTCCGTCAACGAGCGCTTTACACAGCTCAAAGAGCACAGCAGTATTTTCAGCATCCTATACAACATCCCCACCATCAAGGACATGGACACTGCAGCACTTACCAGGGACTGCGCAACACTGGAGAGGGCCCTTACATACAGGGATTCCAGGAACATCGACGCAAAAGTTCTGTGTAATGAGCTCAAAGTCTTGAGCAGGAGACTGGACAGTGAGGCAAAACCACTCGACGCACTGGAGTACATATCCAGACACCAAATGGCCTCCTTGTATCCCATTGCCTTTGTTGCCCTGAGAGTTCTTCTCACACTCCCGGTGACAGTGGCAAGTGGAGAGCGCACATTCTCCAAGCTCAAACTCATCAAAAACGACCTTTTTAGGAGGTAGATCAGCTTTAATATTGCAGATAGATTGTAACTTCCATCAATGTAATTGTCTGCATCACTTCCAATCCAACATATGTTTTTTTTCCTCGCAAATATATGCATATATATACATATACATACACACACATATACACATATATACACACGGTAATGCTGCAATTATTTGGTTGTAATTTTGGGTAGATCAGACATTTCCATATGTTTTTGTTAGCTGCATGTGCGACATGACTCCACCAGTCCTACCAATGAGATCATTTACGAAGATTATACCTTTTTTAAACATTTTGTCAAAAAAAAGATATGTTTTTTATCAATTAGTATATTTGAGTTTAACCACAATATTTGTTGCATTATTTGTTCTGTCGTTTCTGGAGGATTAAATTGAAATTACAACCAACTTTCTATGGCTTGTTTTAGAAATAGTGATATTTGGGAGATGATTTCCTTTTGAAATAACTGAAAGTGAGAGGTTGTAATCTGAATAAAGGGAAAAAGGCCATTCTTGAACATTGGGTGAGACAATCTTACTAATTTGCTAGAGAACCAGTTCGGATTTAAGTATAACTTTTGTATGACTGAAGCTTTTAGTGATAGGTCTAATGCTTTAATATTTAATCATTTCTGTCCTCCGAAGTCATATTCATTATATAATTAGGCCCGTTTAATTTTGTCTGGCCCCTCAGCCCCCAGCTGTGCCGTGGACACCATTTGTGAATTGATTGCCCCCCATCTATCCTCAGAGTTCGTACTGCTTGGTGACCTAAACTGGGATATGCTTAACACCCCGGCCATCCTACAATCCAAACTAGATGCCCTCAATCTCACACAAATTATCAACGAACCTACCAGGTACAACCCTAAATCCATAAACATGGGCACCCTTATAGATATCATCCTGACTAATTTACCCTCTAAATACACCTCCGCTGTGTTCAACCAGGATCTCAGTGATCACTGCCTTATTGCCTGCGTCCGTAACGGGTCCGCGGTCAAACGACCACCCCTCATCACTGTCGAACGCTCCCTAAAACACTTTAGCGAGCAGGCCTTCCTAATTGACCTGGCCCAGGTATCCTGGATGGATATCGATCTCATTCCGTCAGTAGAGGATGTCTGGTTGTTCTTTAAAAGGGCTTTCCTCTCAATCTTAAATAAGCATGCCCCATTCAAAAAATGCAGAACTAAGAACAGATATAGCCCCTGGTTCTCCTCAGACTTGACTGCCCTTGACCAGCACAAAAACATCCTGTGGCGTACTGCATTAGCAACGAATAGCCCCCGCGACATGCAACTTTTCAGGGAAGTAAGGAACCAATATACACAAGCAGTTAGGAAAGCAAAGGCTAGCTTTTTCAAACAGAAATTTGCATCCTGTAGCACTAACTCCAAAAAGTTTTGGGACACTGTAAAGTCCAAGGAGAATAAGAGCACCTCCGCCCAGCTGCCCACTGCACTGAGGCTAGGAAACACTCTCACCACTGATAAATCTATAATAATCGAGAATTTCAACAAGCATTTTGCTACGGCCTGCCATGCTTTCCACCTGGCTACCAATACCCCGGTCAACAGCTCTGCACCCTCCGCTGCAAGTTGCCCCCCCCCGATTCTCCTTCACACACAAATTCAGACAGCTGATGTTCTGAAAGAGCTGCAAAATCTGGACCCCTACAAAACATCTGGGCTAGCCAATCTGGACCCTTTCTTTCTAATATTAGCCGCCGAAATTGTCGCAACCCCTATTACTAGCCTGTTCAACCTCTCTTTCGTAACGTCTGAGATCCCCAGAGATTGGACAGCTGCCGCGGTCATCCCCCTCTTCAAAGGGGGTGACACTCTAGATCCAAACTGTTACAGACCTATATCCATCCTGCCCTGCCTTTCGAAAGTTTTTGAAAGCCAAGTTAACAAACAGATCACCGACCATTTCGAATCACACCGTACCTTCTCCGCTATGCAAGGCTTTCGACTCTGTCAACCACCGCATTCTTATTGGCAGACTAAATAGCCTTGGTTTCTCAAATGACTGCCTCGCCTGGTTCACCAACTACTTCTCAGATAGAGTTCAATGTGTCAAATTGGAGGGCCTGTTGTCTGGACCTATGGCAGTCTCTATGGGGGTGCCACAGAGTTCAATTCTTTGGCCGACTATTTTCTCTGTGTATATCAATGATGTCGCTCTTGCTGCTGGTGATTCTCAGATCCACCTCTACGCAGACGACACCATTTTGTATACATCTGGCCCTTCATTGGACACTGTTAACAAACCTCCAAACGAGCTTCAATGCCACTCCTTCCGTAGCCTCGTACGCTGCTGGCATCCGCCCACCCGACTAGAATCACTACTCTCGACGGGTCTGACCTATGTGGACAACTACAAATACCTAGGTGTCTGGTTAGACTGTAAACTCTCCTTCCAGACTCACATTAAGCATCTCCAATCCAAAGTTAAATCCAGAACCGGCTTCCTATTTCGCAACAAATCCTCCTTTACTTATGCTGCCAAACATGCCCTCGTAAAACTGACTATCCTACCGATCCTTGACTTCGGCGATGTCATTTACAAAATAGCCTCCAACACTCTACTCAGCAAATTGGATGTAGTCTATCACAGTGCCATCCGTTTTGTCACCAAAGCCCCATATACTACCCACCACTGTGACCTGTACGCTCTTGTTGGCTGGTCCTCACTACATATTCGTCGCCAAACCCACTGGCTCCAGGCCATCTATAAATCACTGCTAGGCAAATCCCCGCCTTATCTTAGCTCATTGGTCACCATAGCAACACCCACCCGTAGTATGCACTCCAGCAGGTATATCTCACTGGTCATCACTAAAGCCAACACCTCCTTTGGCCGCCATTCCTTCCAGTTCTCTGCTGCCAATGACTGGAACGAACTGCAAAAAATCTCTGAAGCTGGAGACTCTTATCTCCCTAACTTTAAGCATCAGTTGACAGAGCACCTTACCGATCACTGCACCTGTACACAGCCCATTTGAAATTAGCCCACCCAACTACCTCATCCCCATATTGTTATTTATTTTGCTCATTTGCACCCCAGTATCTCTATTTGCACATCATCTCTTGCACATCTATCATTCCAGTGTTAATACTAATTGTAATTATTTTGCACTATGGCCTATTTATTGCCTTACCTCCATAACTTGCTACATTTGCACACACTGTATATATATTTTTTGACTTTATGTTTTGTTTTTATCGCACTGCTTTGCTTTATCTTGGCCAGGTCGCAGTTGTAAATGAGAACTTGTTCTCAACTGGCTTACCTGGTTAAATAAAGGTGAAATAAAATAAAATAAATAAAAAAATGAGTTCCCCCAAAAACGGAACTCATCATGAGGGACCGCAGTGACTTGTGGGTCTGTGTACCCACATCCAGTTTTACATTACGTTTTAAAGTTAATTTCCTGCTATTCTAAATTGGTCCGCGGGCCTACAAAAGGTGGGCCGCCATCGTGCCTTAAAAGGTAAAGTGCAAACTGTCCTTAGATCAGTGTCTAGGCCTAGGGCCCACTTCCCCCTACTCCTTTACTCTTCATGGGAATAGTGCCACAGACTAATACGTGTCACAGAGGTCATTAAGTGCATGCTACTACTACAAGGACAGGGCCAAAGTACAGAGACAGAGTAGCCCTGCTATTGTATCGACGAGCATAGTAGCCTAACGTCGCCTTTAAAGCAGTGGATGTCCAATCCGGCGAGCGGGTGGTTTGAGTAAAAAAATATGTACTATGATAATATGATAATATTTTTATTGACTGTGTCAAGCTAGACAGTCAGGGAGCATAGAAAATTCCAAAAACGCTGGATGGAGGACTATTTCTTTCAACTTTTAACAGCGAGGTGACATAAAAAAACATCAGTGCAGCCCTCCGGACCTCATTGAAGACCGAATGCTTCCCCGGTGCAAAATGAGTTTGGCACACCTGCTTTAAAGCATTGTTTAATGAGGTATCAGAAAGGTATCAGGTTTATTAGGTTTCTCCATACTCAACATAATAACAGTCATAGTAATCATTCCTTAACGGTCTTCATGTAACCTGTTTTCATAATGTTTCATTTGACACGAAGGCTTGTGGCAGGCCAATGAAAGCAGCTGACCCAGAAAATAGTTGTGTGTGTGGCTCATGTTACAGTGAAGGAAAAGGATGGAACATTTCCGGCTGAAATACGAGGAAAGAGGAGTGGACAGGGAATCCTGCCTGGGAATACTCCTCTTCACTGCCTCCTGTCCTCATTTCCAAGGTGTGTGTGTGTGCGTCCAGGTTTGTGTGTGTGCGTGCCTGCGTGTGAGTGTCTCACCATCTCCAGGCAGGCTGCGGTAGGAGTTTATCTGTTCCTTAGCTCTGATCAACTGTTCCTCCAGGGTCCGCAGTCTGCCTGCACTCACCACCGGGCCCCCGTCAGACTGGCCCTCTGGTAACCTACAGTACAGTACAGGGGGAGAAGAGAGTTTAGTGGATAGAGGTCAGTCTGCCTGCACTCTCCACCGAGCCCCCGTCAGATTGGCCAACTGGTAACCTAGAGACAGGGGAGAGGAATAGAGGAGGGGTCAGTCTGGAATAGGGTTGAATGGTGGGAACCCAGTTACCGAGATTTACCGCCCAAAACCACTCCCTTTTCCCGGGATAAATAACTGAGAGAAACCGGTAAATTATAATAAATAACTTATATGAACAGCATGACGTGAAATGGAACTGTTAAATTATATGCAATGTCTAAATCTGGATTCTCTACGGCCTTCTCTCTGGCCACTGCATGATGAATCATCAATGCTCAGGGTGGGGACCGACCAGATTCCAGAATGTAAACCTATCATCTCATCATAGTAAAATTTTTTTGATTGTGACAGCTACATTTGCTGCAGCATAGCCTATGCTACAGTAACATAAAGACTAAATGCCCATCTATTTTACACATCTCCATCTGGCTTTCCAGGGTCACCTTATTTTTTAATTGTAAAGATGATTACTTTTTTTATTGCAGCTACAGAGTTTTAAAACACACCTATATCATTGCTTTAAATCAGTGCACGAACGAGCACTCTCTCGCAGTCTTTCTCTCCCTCTATCAATTCCATTCAAAATAGATCATCCTGTTCAAGATTGATACACTGCATTCAGAAAGTATTCAGACCTCTTGACTTTTTCCACATTTTGTTACATTACAGCCATATTCTAAAATTGATTAAATTGTTTTTTTTCCCTCATCAATCTACACACAATACCCCAGAATGACAAAGCAAAAACAGATTTTTAGAAATGTTTGCAAATGTATTAAAAATAAAAGGCCACTCAAGGACATTCAGAGACTTGTGCCGAAGCAACTTCTGCTTTGTCTTGGCTGTGTGCTTAGGGTCGTTGTCCTGTTGGAAGGTGAACCTTCGCTCCAGTCTGAGGTCCTGAGCCCTCTGGAGCAGGTTTTCATCAAGGATCTCTCTGTACTTTTCTCCGTTCATCTTTCCCTCGATCCTGACTAGTCTCCCAGTCCCTGCCGCTGAAAAACATCCCCACAGCATGATGCTGCCACCACCATGCTTCACCGTAGGGATGGTGCCAGGTTTCCTCCAGACGTGATGCTTGGCTTTAAGGGCAAAGAGTTCTATCTTGGTTTCATCAGACCAGAGAATCTTGTTTCTCATGGTCTGAGAGTCCTTCAGGTGCCTTTTGGCAAACTCCAAGTGGGCTGTCATGTGCCTTTTACTGAGGAGTGGCTTCCGTCTGGCCACTCTATCATAAAGGCCTGATTGGTGGAGTGCTGCAGAGATGGTTGTCCTTCTGGAAGGTCCTCCCATCTCCACAGAGGAACTCTGGAGCTCTGTCAGAGAGACCATCGGGTTCTTGGTCACCTTCCTTGACCAAGGCCCTTCTCCCCCGATTGCTCAGTTTGGCCGGGCGGCCAGCTCAAGGATAGGTGGTTCCAAACTTCTTCCATTTAAGAATGATGGAGGCCACTGTGTTCTTGGGGACCTTCAATGCTGCAGACATTTTTTGGTACCCTTCCCCAGATCTGTGCCTTGACACAGTCCTGTCTCTGAGCTCTACGGACAATTCTTTAGACCTCATGGCTTGGTTTCTGCTCTGACATGCACTATCAACTGTGGGACCTTATATAGACAGGTGTGTGTCTTTCCAAATCATGTCCAATCAATTGCATTTACTACAGGTGGACGCCAATCAAGTTGTAGTTTCATAGCAATGGTTCTGAATACATATGTAAATAAGGTATTTCTGTTTTTTATTTTTAATAACTTTGCAAACATTTCTAAAAACCTGTTTTCCCTTTGTCATTATGGGGTATTGTGTGTAGATTGATGAGGGAAAAAAAGCAATTTAATCAATTTTAGAATAAGGCTGTAACGTAACAAAATGTGGAAAACGTCAAGGGGTCTGACTTGAATGCACTGTATATAGCCCTATAAATGTCACGCACTGATCTGTTTCACCTGTCTTGTGATTGTCTCCACCCCCCACCAGGTGTCTCCCATTTGTCCCCACTATCCCCTTTGTATTTATACTGGTGTTTTCTGTTTGTCTGTTGCCAGTTCGTCATGTCCCGTCAAGTCCTACCAGCGTGTTCCCGTGTTTCCTGTGCTCTAGTTTTGCTTTTTCTAGTCTTCCCAGTTCTGACCGTCCTGACCCCGATCCTGCCTGCCGTCCTGTACCTGCCTGACTCTGATTTGGATTACGACCCTTGCCTGCCTTGACCTACCGATTGCCTGCCCCTTGTATTGTAATAAACTCTGAGACTCGTACTATCTGCCTCCTGTGTCTGCATCTGTGTCTTAGCCTGAGCTGTGATAATAAATAGATGTCCTAGCCTACCTCTTTCAGGTAATACATTCCAATGCAGTATTAGCCTTATATTTAGCTAATGAATGATGGATTATGCATAATAAGCTTCTAACTTAAAATACACACACACCTGTGCTCTGCTGGCCTTTCTTTAAAAAAGGCTCTTTAGCTCTTGGAGTCACACGCAGGAAAATATAGATTAGAATAGCTTGCTGGACATAATTTTTTTAGCATTTATTATAACAATAGACTATTCGAAGAGGGATTATTAAAACACATTTTTCAACCATCCCACACATTTCTTGTTAACAAACTATAGTTTTGGCAAGTCGGTTAGGACATCTACTTTGTGCATGACACAAGTAATTTTTCCAACAATTGTTTACAGACAGATTATTTCACTTATAATTCACTGTATCACAATTCCAGTGGGTCAGAAATTTACATACACTAAGTTGACTGTGCCTTTAAACAGCTTGCAAAATTCCAGAAAATGATGTCATGGCTTTAGAAGCTTCTGATAATTGACATCATTTGAGTCAATTGGAGGTGTACCTGTGGATGTATTTCAAGGCCTACCTTCAAACTCAGTGCCTCTTTGCTTGACATCATGGGAAAATCAAAAGAAATCAGCCAAGACCTCAGAAAAAAGAAATTGAGACCTCTACAAGTCTGGTTCATCATTGGGAGCAATTTCCAAGCACCTGAAGGTACCACATTCATCTGTACAAACAATAGTACGCAAGTATAAACACCATGGGACCACGCAGCCGTCATACCGCTCAGGAAGGAGACACGTTCTGTCTCCTAGAGATGATCGTACTTTGGTGCGAAAAGTGCAAATCAATCCCAGAACAACAGCAAAGGACCTTGTGAAGATGCTGGAGGAAACAGGTACAAAAGTATCTATATCCACAGTAAAACAAGTCCTATATCGACATAACCTGAAAGGCCGCTCAGCAAGGAAGAATCCACTGCTCCAAAACCGCCATAAAAAAGCCAGACTACAATTTGCAACTGCACATGGGGACAAAGATCGTACTTTTTGGAGAAATGTCCTCTGGTCTGATGAAACAAAAATATAACTGTTTGGCCATAATGACCATCGTTATGTTTGGAGGAAAAAGGGGGTACCTTGCAAGCCGAAGAACACCATCCCAACCGTGAAGCACGGGGGTGGCAGCATCATGCTGTGGGGGTGCTTTGCTGCAGGAGGGACTGGTGCACTTCACAAAATAGATAGCATCATGAGGAAGGAAAATTATGTGGATATATTGAAGCAACATCTCAAGACATCAGTCAGGAAGTTAAAGCTTGGTCGTAAATGGGTCTTCCAAATGGACAATGACCCCAAGCATACTTCCAAAGTTGTGGCAAAATGGCTTAAGGACAACAATGTCAAGGTATTGGAGTGGCCATCACAAAGCCCTGACCTCAATCCTATAGAAAATGTGTGGGGCAGAACTGAAAAAGCGTGTGCGAGCAAGGAGGCCTACAAACCTGACTCAGTTACACCAGCTCTGTCAGGAGGAATGGCCCAAAATTCACCCAACTTATTGTGGGAAGCTTGTGGAAGGCTACCTGAAACGTTTGACCCAAGTTAAACAATTTAAAGGCAATGCTACCAAATACTAATTGAGTGTATGTAAACTTCTGACCCACTGGGAATGTGATGAAATAAATAAAAGCTGAAATAAATAATTCTCTCTACTATTATTCTGACATTTCACATTCTTAAAATAAAGTGGTGATCCTAACTGACCTAAAACAGGGAATTTTTACTAGGATTAAATGTCAGGAATTGTGAAAAACTGAGTTGAAATGTATTTGGCTAAGGTGTATGTAAACTTCCGACTTCAACTGTATATTCAAGCATGTCATTAGAATGATGAAGATAAGGACAACAAAACTTATTTCATTTAACTGTTGAAAGCGAGGAAGGAATTAAGCAACACTAGAGAGAGAAAGAGGAGGTACGCTAATAACATCAGGAGAAATATTATGAACAATTCAAATCAAATTCGCTAGTCTATACTTGTAACTTTGTAGGCTGCATGTGCTGCAAAAGAATCACATGTTCTCTCCCTGCTTTATCATGGTTTGAACGATGTGTGTAATTCCAGTCCAGTATAATACAACACAGTACAGTAATACAATTTACACTCAAAAAGATTAGCCTTCTGGAGCTTGTTTAATTTATTTACCCAAGAGAGCATAGCGAGGCCTATATCTATGGGCTTTTCTGTTTTCTGTTGTGCGTAATGTGCAGTAGCGTACAGTATATATCATATAGCCTATGTATTGGAAATGGCACAATAATTTGGGCTTTTTTGGGCTTGGGCTCATTAAATGTTTTTAATGTAGGGCTCATAAAATGTATTTATTCAGGTTCAGTTTGCATCAGGCATGATTTGTTTTAATCAAAGCTCTAATCAAATTCAGACATAGGCCCATTTATAGTATATAGTTTATAATGCTTTTGAATGACACTTCCGGTTTTGACAGGAAATACTGGGTTACCCTGGGAGAAAAGTGATTTATTCTTGGGATGGAACATTTAAAATACTGGGAAAATATTAAACCCTAGTCTGGAATACAGCTAACCTGTCAGTGAGAGGGCCTGGAGCAGGGAGGAGTATAAACATACAGGACAGGGGGAGAGGAAGGGTCAGTGGTTAGCATGGCTCTCCGCTAACCTACAATACAGAGGAGAGGTCAGTGAGAACACCTGGGGCAGGGAGGATTTTTGTTTTTACTCTAAGTGTCCAGCTGGCACTGTGTGTACATTATAGGTGTGTGTGTCTGTGTTTGTGTGTTTGTGTGTACAGTATAGGTGTGTGTGTCCCTGTCCTGCCAGGTCAAGGTGATTGTCGGTAGGCTGATTTCCCAGGGGCCTTTGCGTTTGGATGCGCTCCCTCCCACCTCCCAGTGCCAAGTTAATGCAATGATCAGTAGTGAGGTATGAGAGCCGACCGTGGGTTGGGTGTGTGTGTTTATAATGATTTGTGGTGAGGTGTGAGAACAACCGGCGACAGCAGGGCAATTCATTCACTGGCAGTAGCTATTCATCACCCCACGTGTTAGAGAGAGAGAGAGAGAGAGAGAGAGAGAGAGAGAGAGAGAGAGAGAGAGAGAGAAAGGCACCTTCACCCCTTCGCCTCACCCCCCCCTCTCTCCAACCTCCCTTCCCCTCTCTCCGTGCAGGACTAACTTATGAGAGGGCACAATTTAAGGGACAGGGGAACGAAGCTAGGGCCACATGGGGTAAAAGTCCACTTGCAGTTCCTCCTCAAGAACAAGTAGAAGAGAGAGAAGTAGATGCGGTCAGTTAAAGAAGGGTGTTCTAAAACTGCCTCCACACACACCATGTAGAAGAGGAATATACAGTGGGGAAAAAAAGTATTTAGTCAGCCACCAATTGTGCAAGTTCTCCCACTTAAAAAGATGAGAGAGGCATGTAATTTTCATCATAGGTACACGTCAACTATGACAGACAAAATGAGAAAAAAAAATCCAGAAAATCACATTGTAGGATTTTTAATGAATTTATTTGCAAATTATGGTGGAAAATAAGTATTTGGTCAATAACAAAAGTTTCTCAATACTTTGTTATATACACTTTGTTGGCAATGACACAGGTCAAACGTTTTCTGTAAGTCTTCACAAGGTTTTCACACACTGTTGCTGGTATTTTGGCCCATTCCTCCATGCAGATCTCCTCTAGAGCAGTGATGTTTTGGGGCTGTCGCTGGGCAACACGGACTTTCAACTCCCTCCAAAGATTTTCTATGGGGTTGAGATCTGGAGACTGGCTAGGCCACTCCAGGACCTTGAAATGCTTCTTACGAAGCCACTCCTTCGTTGCCCGGGCGGTGTGTTTGGGATCATTGTCATGCTGAAAGACCCAGCCACGTTTCATCTTCAATGCCCTTGCTGATGGAAGGAGGTTTTCACTCAAAATCTCACGATACATGGCCCCATTCATTCTTTCCTTTACACGGATCAGTCGTCCTGGTCCCTTTGCAGAAAAACAGCCCCAAAGCATGATGTTTCCACTCCCATGCTTCACAGTAGGTATGGTGTTCTTTGGATGCAACTCAGCATTCTTTGTCCTCCAAACACGACGAGTTGAGTTTTTACCAAAAAGTCATCTGACCATATCACATTATCCCAATCCTCTTCTGGATCATTCAAATGCACTCTAGCAAACTTCAGACGGGCCTGGGCATGTACTGGCTTAAGCAGGGGGACACGTCTGGAACTGCATGATTTGAGTCCCTGGCGGCGTAGTGTGTTACTGATGGTGGGCTTTGTTACTTTGGTCCCAGCTCTCTGCAGGTCATTCACTAGGTCCCCCTGTGTGTTTCTGGGATTTTTGCTCACCGTTCTTGTGATCATTTTGACCCCACGGGTTGAGATTATCAGTGGTCTTGTATGTCTTCCATTTCCTAATAATTGCTCCCACAGTTGATTTCTTCAAACCAAGCTGCTTACCTATTGCAGATTCAGTCTTCCCAGCCTGGTGCAGGTCTACAATTTTGTTTCTGGTGTCCTTTGACAGCTCTTTGGTCTTGGCCATAGTGGAGTTTGGAGTGTGACTGTTTGAGGTTGTGGACAGGTGTCTTTTATACTGATAACAAGTTCAAACAGGTGCCATTAATACAGGTAACGAGTGGAGGACAGAGGAGCCTCTTAAAGAAGAAGTTACAGGTCTGTGAGAGCCAGAAATCTTGCTTGTTTGTAGGTGACCAAATACTTATTTTCCACCATAATTTGCAAATATATTCATTAAAAATCCTACAATGTGATTTTCTGGAAAAAAAAATTCTCAATTTGTCTGTCATAGTTGACGTTTACCTATGATGAAAATTACAGGCCTCTCTAATCTTTTTAAGTGGGAGAACTTGCACAATTGGTGGCTGACTAAATACTTTTTTCCCCACTGTAGCTACCTCACATAGGGTATGGCCTGACAAAATATGAACTGAGTAGGATATGAGAGTAACCGTGGTGACTGGTATTCCATGAACGCAGCAGGCAGCAGAAGCAGCAGTCTTATCTCGGGAGCCTGGCTGAGAATAAATATGTTTCTGTCTGTGGCATGAAATGATGCGTGGAGTCCTGTAATGGTAAACAGCGGGTTTCCCTGTGTGTGTGTGTGTGTGTTTGTGGTGTGTGTGTGTGTCTGAATCTGTCTGTGTGTGTGTGTGTCTGGTTGGTCACATCATGGCTGTCATCAGGAATGCACAGCCACAGTACAGAGATTGAAACAGGAGGAAGAAACTGCAATGTCAAAATGTTATGTCATTCTTGGCTGGTCAAGGACGAAATTAGCTGAGAGTCAAAGAGGAGAGAAGGAGAGTCAGAGAGGAGTCAGAGAGGAGAGAAGGAGAGTCAGAGAGGAGAGTCAGAGAGGAGAGGAGGAGAGTCAGAGAGGAGAGGAGGAGAGGAGAGTCAGAGAGGAGAGGAGGAGAGAAGAGTCAGAGAGGAGAGGAGAGTAGGAGAGGAGAGTAGGAGAGGAGAGTAGGAGAGGAGGAGAGGATTCAGAGAGGAGAGGAGGAGAGGAGAGGAGGAGAGAAGAGTCAGAGAGGAGAGTAGAGGAGGAGAGGAGAGGAGGGAGGAAGAGGAGAGTCAGAAAGGAGAGTAGAGGAGGAGAGAAGGAGAGGATTCAGAGAGGAGAGGAGGAGAGGAGAGTCAGAAAGGAGAGTAGAGGAGGAGAGGAGGAGAGGAGGAGAGGAGCGGCTGGGGTTTAGATGATGTATGTCAGAAGGGAAAACTGTCATACTGAAGCTGCAACTATCAAAGATACTACTAACAACATCACATTACAGTATAAAACAAAGCAACATGTGGATTTATATTCAGCAAAGTTCACACAAGCCCTGTGTTTGACACTCTCAAAACCACACACATGCACACAAACACACACACAATGGCCTCTCAGCTTCAGCTTGGGTATCCCTTTACTATAGTGTCAGAGTGAAACTGGAGATCCCTTTGAGCCCTCTGTGTCCTCCTCCCTGCATGAACCTAATAGAACACTAAAGTAATACACAGAACCCAGAAGGCTACTTGTTATCAAAGCAGCTGTAGCGGCATCGGCCAGGCTGAGAAGGGTGGGTGGATCAGATGGACACCGACAGCGACACACCCTACTTACCTCTCCTCCCTGCCCTCACCTGTCATGGACAGGATCAATGTCCGGGGAACTGGAGGAGGGACAGGGACAGGAGTCACATGACACAACACACACTAACCTAATGAGACCAGCAGGAACTCTCACGCAGGCCAGGCACACAGTCAAAGCATACACCCTACACCATACATCGAAGCACACAAACACACCCATGCACACACACTGTGGATGTACACACACACTCATACACTCGCCATATTATGCATGCACACACTCACACACAGTTCAAGAAGATGTGTGTTATGACAGAGTGAGTCAACAGCCTTCACTGGCATCTCTACACCCCATCAGTTTCACAGCTCTCACTTGAGTGAATCAATGTCTGGGGTCTACAAGTACAAAAACCTTATTTGTACATTTCATGTTGTGCTGTATTGAAGCTCTATACAGCTGAATGCTGACATTATTCCACTGGGATGGATAGTAAGCTTGAAGAGAGGCTGAGATGGGAAGGGGGGAGGACAGAGAAATACATGGGCTCAATCCCAATACCCCCCCTTAACCCACCCCCTTAGCCCGCCCCCTCCGTTTTGCGCGATCCCGCGAGCCCCATCGAGGCGTAGTGGTATCCCAATTGAACTTTGAGTGAGGCGTAATGCCTTTTCAGCCCTCTAGTTGGCCCTCCAAACAAAGCGAATCGAGATGCAGACTTTCTATTGAGTGTTTCCCAAAACTCCCATGATGCTCTGCGACCCAACCCTGGAGTTGCTTCAAGAATAATGGCTGACAAAAATACCAGGATGGAAGCAGATGTAAGTAATTATAACTTCATAATGATTCCTGCAAAATATTTACAGTTAAGAGGAATACACTGCGTGCACAAAACATTAGGAATACCTGCTCTTTTCCATGGCATAGACTGACCAGGTGAATCCAGGTGAAAGCTATGATCCTTTGTTGATGTCACTTGTTAAATCCACTTCAGTCAGTGTAGATGAAGGGGAGGAATATTTAAGCCATGAGACAATTGAGACATGGATTGTGTATGTGTGCCATTCAGAGGGTGAATGGGCAAGACAAAATATTGAAGTGCCTTTGAATGGGGTATGGTAGTAGGTTCCAGGCGCACCGCTTTGAGTGTGTCAAGAACTGCAGCTCTGCTGGGTTTTTCACGCTCAACAGTTTCCCGTGTGTATCAAGAATGGTCCACCACCCAAAGGACATCCAGCCAATTTGGGCCAGCCTCCCTGTGGAGTACTTTCAACACCTTGTAGAGTCCATGCCCGACGAATTGAGGCTGTTCTGAGGGCAGAAGGGGGTGCAACTCAATACTAGGAAGGTGTTCCTAATGTTTTGTACACTAAGTATATGTTTTTTTATGTAGAGACAAACGATTATGCCTATTTTATGGTCATAAAATACATTTACGAACATCGCTATTTAACAAGCTATCTGGCTATATGGGTGTTTGACATTTATATGAATTGTAATTCGTGTTGTTAAATGTTTTAATGACCAGAAAACCAGGCTGTCATCTTGTGAAACCCAGTGGATGTAAAGAATCTAGCTAAAGCATTTACCGATACTGCAAATTGAATAAACAATTTACACTGAACAAAAATGTAAACGCAACATGTAAAGTGTCGGTCCCGTCTATGCAAAGGAGATGTGTCGCGCTGCATGAGGCAAATGGTGGTCACACCAGAAATTGACTGGTTTTCTGATCCACGCCCCTAACTTTTTTTAAGGTATCTGTGACCAACAGATGCATATCTGTATTCCCAGTCATGTGAAATCCATAGATTGGGGCCTAATTTATTTATTTCAGTTGACTGATTTCCTTATATGAATTGTAACTCAGTAAAATCTTTGAAATTGTTGCATGTTGCGTTTATATTTTTGTTCAGTGAGCTGAAATAAAATATCCTAGAAATGTTCCATACGCACAAAAATGTCTTTCAAATGTTGTGCACAAATTTGTTTACATCCCTGTTAGTGAGCATTTCTCATTTGCCAAGATAATCCATCCACCTGTCTCAAGTATTGACGAAGCGTGCAATTGGCATGCTGACTGTAGGAATGTCCACCAGAACTGTTGCCGGAAATGGAATGTTAATTTCTCTACCATAAGCCACCTCCAGCATCATTTTAGAGAATTTGGCAGTACGCCCAACCAGCCTAACAACTGCAGACCACGTGTAACCACGCCAGCCGAGGACCTCCACATCCGGCTTCTTCACCTGCGGGATCGTCTGAGACCAGCCACCCGGACAACTGATGAAACTGTGGGTTTGCACAACCAAATAATTTCTGCACAAACTGTCAGAAACCGCCTCAGGGAAGCTCATCTGCGTGCTCGTCGTCCTCACCAGGGTCTTTACCTGACTGCAGTTTGGCGTCGTAACCGACTTCAGTGGGCAAATGCTCACCTTTGATGACCACTGGCACGCTGGATGGCAGACAGTGTGTATGGTGTCGCGTGGGCGAGCGGTTTGCTGATATCAACATTGTGAACATAGTGCCCCCTTGGGGCGGTGGGGTTATAGTATGGGCAGGCATAAGCTACAGACAACGAACACAATTGCATTATAATCGATGGCAATTTGAATGAACAGAGATACCATGACAAGATCCTGATGCCCATTGTCGTGCCATTCATCTGCCGCCATAACTTCATGTTTCAGCATGATAATGCACGGCCCCATGTCGCAAGGATCTGTACACAATTCCTGGAAGCTGAATATGTCCCAGTTCTTCCCTGGCCTACATACTCACCAGACATGTCACCCCTTGAGCATGTTTGGGATGCTCTGGATCGACGTGTACGACAGCGTGTTCCAATTCCTGCCAATATCCAGCAACTTTGCACAGCCATTGAAGAGCAGTGGGCCAACATTCCACAGGCCACAATCAACAGCCTGATCAACTCTATGCAAAGGAGATGTGTCGCGCTGCATGAGGCAAATGGTGGTCACACCAGAAATTGACTGGTTTTCTGATCCACGGCCCTACCTTTTTTTTAAGGTATCTGTGACCAACAGATGCATATCTGTATTCCCAGTCATGTGAAATCCATAGATTGGGGCCTAATTTATTTATTTCAGTTGACTGATTTCCTTATATGAACTGTTACTCAGTAAAATCTTTGAAATTGTTGCATGTTGCGTTTATATTTTTGTTCAGTGTAGTAAGCTTGCCTTGCTGTTCATGTCCGACTTTTCATTGTTTTTTATTGTAGTAACGTTAATGTTAGAGATTGAAGATGTTTGTCACGCAATGCAGCTGAAGTAACGTAGCTAGCTAACTTTTGTATTGCTTATTGCGTAGTGGAGGATAAAAATACCTGTATGCCTATGGATGTGTATGTAGACGATCTGTGTATGGACCCTAAAACAGTTGGTACAAAGTTCAGAACAGTTTTTTTTTTTTTACTGCTTCCACTGGTTAAGGGGGAGGGGGAGGGGCACAGAGAATGAGGACATGTATTTCTCTAACACAGAGAAGAAGAGAAAACAAAACAGTGAAAATGGGAAAACAATAGTGGTGTAAAAATAAGAACCATCCTGATGCTGGGAGAAAAGTGTCCCTTGCTGCAACCCAGCGATGGGAATAAGAGAAAACACAACAGAGCCCTGAGGGTGCAGAGTATCAGGGTGCAAAACAGTCACACACACACACAAACACACACAAGCACGGACAAGCACACATACACAGCTTCACACACACACGCACACCAAAGAAAAACAAAATTACAAAAAGTAACGCCACATGTAATTGCAGTGGCCTAGTTCCTTTCTTTGTTATCAGCCCACTTTCTGGTGTAAGCCACAGCGTACACACTGGGCCAGTAGATAAGGACTGGGAGCCTCTGCCTGCATCCCAAATGGCACCCTATTGCCTACATACTGCACTATATTTGACCAGCACCTGCAGTTACAGTGGCTGTGGATGAACGGCTCTGCGGCTCTGTGTAACGGCTGGTGTATATGCTCTATTATGGGGTCACTCAGACATACAATGGATGTGTGGGATATGTAGGTTAAGTGGGACAATGAAATGTAGGCTCTAGAGTGTCAGCGCGTGGGAGAGGAAGTGAGAGAAAGGAGAGTTGATATGTGTGTGAGAACCGACTGTGTGACATACAGTAACATTGCATCACTGCTATCCACACCATTCGAGAGGTATATCGGTTGAATCCCTGTGTGTGTGTGTGTGTGTGTGTGTGTGTGTGTGTGTGTGTGTATGTGTGTCTAAATGTAGCCAGTAATCAGAATAAGCTCATGTGTTTGAGTTAGTGTGTAAGTGAGTCTGTTAAAGCGCATTAAAGCAAGTCAGAATATCTGTATTATTGTAAATGTGTGTGTACCTCTGAGTGAGAGCGAGTGAGTGTGTATGTTTGAGCTTGTGTGTGTGTGTCTGAGTGAGAGTTTGCCTAAATCAACTAATGCTTTGAAGACAGTTTTATGTCTGTATTAGTGGGGGTGAGCCAGTCCCATTCCCAGCAGCTTAAAACACGCAGAAATCACAGTTGAATGCTTTTATCACGGTCAGTTATATCCCTAACAGAACAGAACAGAAACAGACCAGTGAAATAAAGGACCATGTCCTAATTAGAACACATTCAGGTGACACTAATGTACCTTTAATGTCTATTATAAAATGGGTTGTTTGGATACTGGATGCTTATTGGACAAGCAGCGTTCCAAGCCGTGCTGTATTCACCTACACAGGCACACCTAAGCCTGCTAACAGTTCCATCTGAATTATCACTGCGCCTCCAAAATAATATCATGTTCACTTTGCTGTATTTCCTCTTGCTTCTAGCCTAGCATTTAGTTTGGTACAGTGACGGTTAATATACAGTTGAAGTCGGAAGTTTACATACACCTTAGCCAAATACATTTCAACTCAGTTTTTCACAACTCCTGACATTTAATCCTAGTAAAGATTCCCTGTCTTAGGTCAGTTAGGATCACCACTTTATTTTAAGAATGTGAAATGTCAGAATAATAGTAGAGAGTGATTTATTTCAGCTTTTATTTATTTCATCACATTCCCAGTGGGTCAGAAGTTTACATACACTCAATTAGTATTTGGTAGCATTGCCTTTAAATTGTTTAACTTGGGTCAAACGTTTCGGGTAGCCTTCCACAAGCTTCCCACAATAAGTTGGGTGAATTTTGGGCCATTCCTCCTGACAGAGCTGGTGTAACTGAGTCAGGTTTGTAGGCCTCCTTGCTCGCACACGCCTTTTCAGTTCTGCCAACAAATTTTCATTTGGAAGACCCATTTGCGACCAAGCTTTAACTTCCTGACTGATGTCTTGAGATGTTGCTTCAATATATCCACATAATTTTCCTTCCTCATGATGCCATCTATTTTGTGAAGTGCACCAGTCCCGTGCTTGGGATGCTACCACCCCCGTGCTTCACGGTTTGGATGGTGTTCTTCGGCTTGCAAGGTACCCCCTTTTTCCTCCAAACATAACGATGGTCATTATGGCCTAACAGTTATATTTTTGTTTCATCAGACCAGAGGACATTTCTCCAAAAAGTACAATCTTTGTCCTCATGTGCAGTTGCAAACCGTAGTCTGGCTTTTTTATGGCGGTTTTGTAGCAGTGGCTTCTTCCTTGCTGTGCGAGCTTTCAGGTTATTGTGGATATTGATACTTTTGTACCTGTTTCCTCCAGCATCTTCGGTCCTTTGCTGTTGTTCTGGGATTGATTTGCACTTTTCGCACCAAAGTACGATCATCTCTAGGAGACAGAACGTGTCTCCTTCCTGAGCGGTATGACGGCTGCGTGGTCCCATGGTGTTTATACTTGCGTACTATTGTTTGTACAGATGAACGTGGTACCTTCAGGCGTTTGGAAATTGCTCCCAAGGATGAACCAGACTTGTGGAGGTCTACAATTTTTTTTCTGAGGTTGGCTGATTTCTTTTCATTTTCCCATGATGTCAAGCAAAGAGGCACTGAGTTTGAAGGTAGGCCTTGAAATACATCCACAGGTACACCTCCAATTGACTCAAATGACGTCATTTTCTGGAATTTTGCAAGCTGTTTAAAGGCACAGTCAACTTAGTGTATGTAAACTTCTGACCCACTGGAATTGTGATACAGTGAATTATAAGTGAAATAATCTGTCTGTAAACAATTGTTGGAAAAATTACTTGTGTCATGCACAACGTAGATGTCCTAACCGACTTGCCAAAACTATAGTTTGTTAACAATAAATTTGTGGAGTGGTTGAAAAACAAGTTTTAATGACTCCAACCTAAGTGTATGTAAACTTCCGACTTCAACTGTAAGCCTAGCTGTCTGCCTATCCGACCTCGGAAACAATGTTTCAAATGAAATGCGATCTCCCCTTTACCATAGAGAGCAAACAGTGTCCAGATGAGACATCAACTTTTTCTGAGCCAGGCGAAATCACGTATCAACGTCATTATTATGGACATATCCAAGTAAATGCCAATAGAAAAAAGCTCAAACAAAAATGTTTTATCTACAGTAGTATACTGTCATTTCAGGTGCAATGTTTGACGTAACTGAACTGAAGTTGGCTAGCTAGCTAGCAAGTGACAACACCAACATCAGCATCAGCATCAGTCCGGCAGCAAAGAGGAAGAGAATGGATACTGTTCCCAGAGATAACGCACCAGGTGACATTGGACACTTAAATGGCAATGTACAGATCAAATGTGAACAAAAAATCTTAGTTGACCTCTGCTTTGAAAACCCCCAAAACCCCAAAGGTGAGCGGGTTTGTAGGACCACTGAAGGAAGAGGGTCCCTACAGTTGACACTTCGATGTCTAGGAATCAGCTGATCGCGGAACAGAGTAAAGATGTTTCCCTCTCCCATCTTTTTGCTGAGGAGGAATTTGATTAAGTTTGTGTGGGTTACTTTGACAGAGATGATGTTCTAATGAGGAAATGGTGTTCTCGCGCCACTCCTGGGCAGGACGATTGGCCCAGGGTATCTCAAATTGTCTTTTCAGTTACGCTTCGACAAGAGATACTGAGGTTGGCTCACGATGGTAGTATGGCAGGACATCTTGGGGTCAACAAGACATATGACCGTATCTTGCATAACTTCTTCCTGCCTGGCCTGAAACAGGATGTCGTGTCTTACTGTAAATCCTGTTGCGTTTGCCAGCAGACGGTTAAACCGAACCAAGCTGTACCAGTTGCACCTCTGCAGCCTATTCCTGCTTTTGACAAACCTTTCAGCAGGGTTCTGGTGGACTGTGTAGGTCCTTTGCCCAAGGCAAAGAGTGTTAACCAGTTTCTCTTAACCATCATGTACGCTGCCACTCATTTCCCTGAGGCCATTCCACTGAGGAAAATCACCAGAGGAAAGTTACTACGGATATTGCAGGAGTTTCCCCTTGAAATCAGACACGTCCGTGATAAGGACAACTAAGTTTAGCCAGTGTGTTGCCCTGCCTCACAATTTGTTTTGACTGCACGTTTTGCTGTTTTGGAGATGAGTCTTGTTTTGGTTGGGCTTGTTCCAGGAGGATGAGAGTACTAAAAACATACTTTATTTTACCCCTGTTTCTGAAAAAAAGTGTGTGTTTTGTTTTATATTTAATTGTTGACAGCCAGCAGACGCCATGTTATTGGAGAAGGCGACGCATAAGTAGCGATGCATTTAAGTTGATTATGTTGTGAAATGAAAGTTGTTTTCTGTTGGTGGTGAGCAAACTTGTCCAACAAAAATATAGGATATATTTGTTGTCTTAAGGGGGAAGGTGTTACAGATTTTGTTTTTTCCATTTATGTTTTGAGGTTGGACTTTTAGCACGTTAGCACTGATTGGTGTCACCTCATTAGTCAGTATGTGTTACACCTGTGCTGGCTTGTCCATCTCGTTAGTCGAAAGGCGTTTCACCTGTGCTGGCCCAGGTGCTATTTAAGAGCGGCTGGCCCAGCGCTCCAGTGGTCTTGAAAGATGTGGAGGGTCAACACCTTTAGTTGGCGCGCCCTATTTTGAGTTCTAGACAAACAATCATTTATCTGATCTTCCCTGTTTTTGTTTTGCGACACCTTTTTGGTTTGCTTCCTGTCTTTAAGTTTGGTGTGGGTTTTTCTTTTGTTTGCCTCTTATTGGGCAAATATAGTGGGTGCTCATGCTTGTGGCCGCTCATGGTTGGTGTTTTTTAGGTTCCAGTTGTTGTTGCTAGTCAACTTTCAGTGGACATCCCCATGAGTGTCTTTCAGAACCCCTCCTGAAACCCCACCTGTTTCGTTTTGGTTGTTGTCAGTGACTCTTTGTTAGTTGCCCACTCTGTTTGAGCGACATTATATGGTTTTCTTGCTGGGGAACGTAACAGACATAACTAGGCTAGCTGTAGTTTAGCTAGCATAGCAACCATTTCTGTTTGCTTGGCGTCGGGCCAAACAACACCATTTACCTGTGACTGTATTCAGCACATAGCACGTTCTCTTGTGCCTTATTGCTTAAATACACACACTTTATTGTCACTATAGCTACAAGGAATATGGTTGATAATGTCTGGCTTTAGATCTATGCCTTTGATATGGTCATGCCATGAAATAGAAAATACACTCCCAACCCTATTCAGATGAAGGATGGATAAAAAGTGCCTGAGAAATGAAGTAAAGTCTGCCACTTTGACATACTCCCAGTCCCAACAGTGATTTACATCATGTGTCTGAATAAATCACTGTTGGGAGCATATCAGAGACATTTACCCAGGCTATTGTCATACACTGCAGCACACACACACACTGAGCAGAGAGAATGTATTGTAAATGCTTCTGTGCCTTCCTAAACCGGATGGTGAACTTCTGGGAGCTACATGGATAATGTCTGCTGGCTGCTGCAGAGGAAGAAGGGGTGTCAACACCTCTGACTAATCAGCTGCAGGAGATCTTCTTGGCCAGCCTCCACTTTTGCCTCCATCTCTCTTTATTTTCCTCCTCTCCATTCCTTACCTCATCCCTCAATCGCTACGCACACAACAGAAATGTCTCCTTCTCTCTCTCTGTCTCTCTGCCCGCCCTCTCCATCTCTTCTGTCTCTACTCCATTTTCTCTCTCTCTCTCTCGTTGGAGTGCATGCTGGGAGTGAGTCGTGAAGCAGGAGTGATTGTGAGAGCGACTGGAATTCTTTTCACTCTTGGGTTTTGGTGTGTGTATATATATATATATATATATATATATATATATATATATATATATATATATATATATATATATATATATATATATATATACATACATACAGTGGGGAGAACAAGTATTTGATACACTGCCAATTTTGCAGGTTTTCCTACTTACAAAGCATGTAGAGGTCTGTAATTTTTATCATAGGTACACTTCAACTGTGAGAGACGGAATCTAAAACAAAAATCCAGAAAATCACATTGTATTATTTTTAAGTAATTAATTTGCATTTTATTGCATGACATAAGTATTTGATACATCAGAAAAGCAGAACATAATATTTGGTACAGAAACCTTTGTTTGCAATTACAGAGATCATACGTTTCCTGTAGGTCTTGACCAGGTTTGCAAACATTGCAGCAGGGATTTTGGCACACTCCTCCATACAGACCTTCTCCAGATCCTTCAGGTTTTGGGGCTGTCGCTGGGCAATACGGACTTTCAGCTCCCTCCAAAGATTTTCTATTGGGTTCAGGTCTGGAGACTGGCTAGGCCACTCCAGGACCTTGAGATGCTTCTTACGGAGCCACTCCTTAGTTGCCCTAGCTGTGTGTTTCGGGT